CCCAATAATCAAACAATCAAACTACTTTGGGTGTGTGTAGTACGCTTAGCCCCAAATCTTCCCCCACAGCTCTTCCATGACATTTACTAGCAATTTGACCGCCGAGAAAATATCCATTTTTCAAACCGTAAAGTGACATAAAAATTACCAAACATTGCCTGAGATGAAAGTTTGCTAAAAAAAAGTAGTCAAGGTGGTACTGCCGTAGGCATCAACCAAAACCACTGCTATTCTTAAATGCATCAGTAGGCTGGCCTATATAACATGCACAAAATCATGTTCCTATTTTATAATTTAAAGTAGGTTGGACTTGATGGACTAATGTCTTTATTCAACCTCAAATACTATGTAACTATGTAACTATGTAATTCCAGGAAACACCTATTTTCAATCTGGATATAGTGATGAAGAGTTAGAAACCCTGTCAAGTTTTCAGTATGTGACTCCATGGGGTATATTTCCTCTTACATTCTGTCCAGATGACCACAAAAAAAATAAGAGGAATCTTCCAACAGGCACACACAGCAAAATAACATGACAGAGGTTCTAACGTTTTCCCAGCACCACTGAAATAGTGCTTTTATCACCCTCTGTGCCCCAATACAGAGATACCCCTAACTTCTTGTGTTTGTGACCACACAGGAAGTAAATACAAATCTAGTCAAGTTTAGATGGAATGAATCCTAAATTCTATATTATCTTTTATATGCTACCATGGAGAATTATCTCCACTGGTTTTTTTTTTTATCTTATGGCAATTTTCTCTTGAAAATAATCAATTTACAAACACAAATAATGCTCAGGTATGGAATAGTTATGTTGCATAAAATGGGCATTTACCAATTGTAAACCTTATTTTCTTACGTACTGCTATTTTATCATCACCTTCAACGGCTTATTTTACTGCTCTACTCAATATACCTTATTAAAACTTGATGTTAAGGCCAGTCAGAATTTAGCAGTATTTTAAGGAGCGATAATCTTTGTGAACGACTTAGCATACAAAATACCTCAGAAACCACTAAAGTAATTTATATGCAGTAAATATACCATACATGCAAACAAAAATTATAGTCTGCGCTGTAATACTTTTTGGGAATTGCATAATCCATGTGCAATAAAAAAAAAAATCAGGAAAGCAAATAATACACAGTCATTTAAATACACCATGGGTTATTTTTTCTTTTAAATTGTCATCTTTTTCTAAGTAAATCAATATAGTTATGTACATACATCACTTTGGAGCTCATAGGCTTTCCTGGCCTGGATGACATCACTTTGATCTGGCAGGCACGTCCAATTGTGAAGGTATTTCCTGTAATCAATATCGCTGACCAAGGTCTGGCATTTCTTAGCCAATAGGAAGCCGAGCATGTCCACAGGCATGTTGAAGTTTGTCCTAGTCTTCTCAAAGTCCTTTTTGTACTCCCGGTCACTCTGCATCTTGCCCACATGCATGGACCATACCAACTTAGGATCATCCTTAATACTGCGGAATCCAACATGGTGTCCCTGCTGCTTCCTGTAGGCTGCTTTGTATTTGTACTGTAAGAAAAAGATAATATTTTTAGGAAAATTGTAGAGAAATTATTTTCCCTTGAGGGGATATATCTGGCCACCAGGTTACAGTGGTATAGGTAGACATTATTCTTCACAAATAAACATTTAAAGTGTATCTAAACTAGCGTTCGCCAACCTTTCAGACCTCATGGACCACTAAATTCATCATTTTAAATCCCGCAGACCACTAATATGAATTTTTGTTGTTTCCTCATATGTATGTATGTTTCCTCATATATATATAAATATATATATGAGGAAACAAAAAATATGAGAATATATCAATATACATACATACAGTATATATACACATACATACATAGGTGCAGGTGTGCCTGCAGGAGTGGCAAAGCTGGTTGAGGGAGGGAGCGGTGCCCGCCAGCCCCAGTAATAATATTAATTGTTTCTCTATCGAATATACCACTGCCCCCAACCACCCCCGTGCCTCCCCTTCCCCCACACTTAGCCACTATTACCTGGCTTCTCCCACGCTTTTTCTATGTCCGCAGCCTGCTCAGTCCGGGTACTGACGAGATGCCCCACCTCCTGCAAGGTCCGCACTGTACTTATAGCCGCGCATTCCTTGTGACAGCTGCTGTTTGAGTCAGTAGTGAGAGGCAGCCCCGGAGCCTCCGTGCCATATCAATGACCGCCAAGCCTGCACAGCATCAGAGGGGCCCGGGGACCACCAACATTTTCTCACGGACCACCAGTGGTCCACGGACCACCGGTTGGTGACCGCTGATCTAAACCCACGAACAAACATTTTATATTTTGTAAATATGACAAGAAATGGCAAAAACAAACAAAAGCATGCCCCAAAACAGAAGAAAGCAGTTACTCAATACGTGATAGTTTGACTTCTTTGATAGCTTCTTTTTTTTTTTTAGAATTTGATTTGTGAAAAGTGACAAGTGTAATTTCAGATACTTACATCACTGGCGATATCGCGAGATGCCCTGGCAGCCTTTATAGCGATGGCATCAGAACGAAGGTCATAGCCTTTTTTCTTGGACTCCTCCAGTGCTTGTTTGTAGATTTTCTGATGAGAGTCAATAATTAATTAGTGAGACTTTCTTCTTGCTCTTCTCATGATGGACATTGAGATAAGATGAGAAAATACTTGACATTTTGACAAGATGTTTTAACTCCACGCACTCATTTTCTTGCATATCTGCATGCAACCATTTGTGAAGCGTGGTTGGATCATGGATGCAACAGATAAGCCAAAATGTGTCAGGTGCACCCTTGGATTTTACTTTACGTACCTCACTGAAGTTAATCTTGTTCTGTTTTGCCAGAAGAACTTCTGGTGTATCAGGCATAATGTGGAGTTGAATCTTATCCTTGTTCCATGCTTTATTATATAGGCGCTGGAAAATAATTTGTAATAGAATCACCATTAGCACCCCCCAAATTCCTGACATGATTCACAGTATACATCATCAGAACAAAACACTTCAGTGTCATTCCACCCTAATCTGGTATTTTAGATCTGATGATGGAGAGTTAGAAATTCTTATATCTCTTTGATATGTGGCAGGCAAGATCTCCATAATTGATTTCAAAACCATTATGAGCTGGTTCACCAAATTTTGCATTTTTTTTTTTACTTTAGCAGTGTGGGAAAAACCCAAAGTGGGCAGGAACAACTGAAGCTCAAAAAAGGGGAGAAAATCTATGTCAGGGACATCCTGCCAATAGAAAACTCAAAGGATGTAAGAAGATAGTGGATGGCGTAACCCCCTTAGACACCACATATATCTAAAATGTCACTTTCACTCACCCCAAAGTGGGCACTAAGGGAGAAGGATCTGTATCAGGGACATCCTGCAAATGGAATGCTCAAAAGGTTTAAAAATCAAGTGGATGATGTAGCACTCCAGACTCCATCTTTATCTAAAATATCACTTTTTGATGGACAATCACTTAAATTACGACCTACCTTATTCATAATATCTGCATTGGATTTAGCGAGCACCATTTCCATAGAGTCAGGGACACTGGTGAATCTGAACTTGTCTGGGTGTTGGCGATACTTCTTCTCACTCAGGATGGTTGATGCCCTTTTGTTCTTCTCATCATCTATGGAACCAGTGGGTGACCAGCCGATTCCTCTAAGCCATTGCAAGTCAGACCTGTAGGCAATCTTGCAAAGATACAAAAGATTATATTTTACAAGGTTCATTTGTAAAGTAAATGGTAAATTGCATTATTAAAACACCTAGAAGAGCTCTTGATGCCCTTCTGCTTACATATAACGGGCATTTCTGAAGGCATAACAGAAACAATGCTAGAATGAACTGTATAGTTTGAAAGGTACTGGGAAGGGTTTGGAGGTTTACAGCATTTACAGGCTTTTCTAGTAAAGCTAAGTGCAGTAACCCCCTAGAGTTTATTACTTAATAATTTGGTTGTGGTTATTATAGGTTATTGGATTTTGCTTTGCTCAACATTTAGGGGTTTCCTAGGCAGGGTCAGTGAGCATGTCAGATATATTAGGTGGTGATTAAGCAAAGGTTGTGAGTACAGGGCATTATAGCTCTTCCCCCAGCACACTGCAATCACAGTATGTTGATGCAGAGAGTGGTGGTCATGTGATCACATAGCATTGCTTTCTACATCATCCAGGACTGTCCTCCACCAGAAAAAGATCGAAGAGGACCCAGAGTGTTATGTGACTGGCCAGACAACATCAGAAAAATAAGTGAATTAAAAACCCATGAAATATCACTGGACTGCATTAAAGGGGAGAGGTGTTTGGAGGGGAAGAGCCCATAACCCAGAGTTGGGCTGTAAACCCAATAGTCTTAAACTTCTTTGTGTCTCTGAACCCTGTACCCAAGTATGTTTACATTGTTAGCTGATTTTTATTTGGAAATGCCTTAAATTAGCTTTTGCTGCCTCCTGCCCTCACAGCACAGTGCCCTGTGCTGGCAGAGTTGAGTAGCAGCCACACCCCTCATCACAAGTGTCTTCAGACAGACTTGTATTGCAGGGAGGGGGAGAGGCATGCATGACCAGGTCTAATGATAAGTGCACTAGGTATAAATTTGGGTCCTTTTGTCATAATTAGATAAACTGAACAAATGCTATACCAGGAAAGAAGAAGAAAGCCTATAGACTATGGCGAAATGGAGGTTGTTAGTACAATGTCTAACTGGTTGCACATCTATTTTTGTGGCTTCTATTGGACTTTAGAATAACTAGTATTTGAATTGACATAAAATTGTGTACTTACATCACTCTGTATTTCGGAGACCTTTCTTGCCTGTACCACATTCTTCTGGTCAGGTAGACAGGTCCACTTGTGAAGTAAACGTTTATAGTCAATGTCACTGACTAATGTCTGGCATTTCTTGGCCAGCAATATTCCCAGCATATCAACTGGGGTATTGAACTTGGTCCTCCATTTTTCATAGTCCTTCTTGTACTCTCTGTCACTCTGGATCTTGGCCACGTGCATGGCCCATACAGATTTGGGATCATCTTGCAGGCTGCGAAAACCCACATGGTGGCCTTGCTGCTTGCGGTAAGCTTCTTTGTACTTGAACTGAAATAGGTTGCAAAAGGTCAGGCCACATAAGCGTTTATATCACAGACACATTTATATAGATAACTTCAGAAATCACAAGACATGTATTTTATTTAAAAAAAGAAGACAATTAAAGCTATGATTTATATATAGATCAGAATGTGCTCAACAGGATGCATTTTAGAACAGAAATGCAAAACCTGGCAGATGTTCTACCCCACTACCAAAAAAGTTCTGGCTAGAGTTTCACTTGAATAAAATAAAGAATAAAAGTGTAATGCATTAGTGAATAATATATACGTAAACTTATTTAAAAAATAATAATAATTTTGTTTGAGATAATTAACAAACATTTAGGGCATACTGGGAATACATTTACCCAATATAGGTCTTTTAATAGACTAACCTTCAACAAAAAGTATTTGGGAAATACTTGTTATAAAACATACATAATATAATATAATATACAGTACTGTATATAAATGAACATAATATAATTATGTAATTATATTAGGTGACAAAAAATGTTTTCGTAAAAAAGTTTAACTAAAATGTGTGTTTTTGAGTGGAAAACTGCGCATGAAACATGTTGAATTACTTATTAATAAATACATTGCTGATTAAAAAAATAAGTTCAATTTTAATATTTCCGTGTAAACTACAGAATATTTTTATGTAGACATCTTGGTATGTGAGTCTGCACACATTTATGGATTTCTTGTTGTAGGTCAATGAAAAACATATGTCTTTGTAGATCAGTTCCAGATACAGATCTTTGGCCTGACTAACAGCTGAAAAGTAGTAAGCAGTCTCACAATGTGATCATTCTCTCCTTTATAAATAGGAAATCCTACTATCATAAAGCATCTCACACAATAGTGTAAATAAAAGTAATATAAAAGTAATCTGGTAATAAAAAAGTGAAACCTTACATCGCTAGCAATGTCCCTTGTGGATCTTGCAGCCTTGATGGCAATAGCATCAGCCCGCAGGTCATAGCCCTTCTTCTTGTTCTCTTCGTAGCCAGCCTTGTAGAGTTTCTGTTAGATACATTTCATAGGTACAAATAATCAAATAATGCTGTATGTTGACATGCAGAATACAGTACTGTACTGTAAATCCTCAGATCTTCAAAAGTAATCTCTTTCTATATGTACATGTATGTACTTTAAGTTCTCAAGTTCAGACAGCTTAGAAACCAAAGACCTGCCATCAGATATATTTTTTCATGTTAGGTGCATGTTATGTTATGTAACATGTAAGTGAAGCATTTACAGGTATTTATTACCTACTTTGTATTTCTCTGGAAGGAAGATGCCATCTTTGTTCAGGTGTTATCCAGGGTCAGCATCCACTTCTTGGACTAGGACACTGGCCCAAGAATTACGCAATCATGTTAATCCTGGTTCCTGCATGGTAACCTATATGTTTTCTGACATTACATTGAAGGCCCTTTGGGCAATGGCTAATGGGAATGATTAGAATCACTACTGAAAATGCTAAATGAGCATAATATATAACATACTGTTGTCATTTCCGGCCCTCATACCTGTGTAAATGCGTGTTTATCTCAGATAACTTTCATGAATTGTGTTTCAGTTGTCTGCAAACCAGAATTGTCTGCAAAATAACTATTCTCTTTCATCTGTATTTTACTGCTGCTAGTCAGCTCTTTTTCCATTGCTAAGCTGTAACAATGTATTGGTTCCATGCAAATATAGTACTGCATCTGTACTTACTTCACTGATATTGATCAGGTTCGCCTTTGCCAGGAGGATCTCAGGAGTGTCTGGCATGACATGGATTTGTCTCTTATCCTTTTCCCAGGCTTCTTTGTAAAGTTTCTGCAACAAAAAAAAAAATACATGAATTTAAATAATTGTTTGGAAACTTAGAATGCAGTCTACTAGATGTACCCATATCGAAATACAGTTTTTTTGGGGTCTGAACAATTCTAACATACGTGTGCAGCAATTGCGCAGTATATGCTTACAATATCAGTGCAGCAAACTAGCACTAGCATTGACTGCTTGGATACCAATCATAATGAATATCCTAATAACATACATTGAAATAATATATTCACTTGATATACTAAACCAGCCCTAAATGTGTCTTTTAGTTGGGGGCTTGCTCAGCAGGAATCATTCACTGGATGTGCATGGCCGATGAAAAAATAACTTTAGAGGGTCTGACTTTTGCTATGTTAGCAGAGGAATTTCCTATTTATTTCAATGGCAGGCTTCTCTGAATATTTTCTCCACATGAACAAAGCAGTAAGACTTCCAAACAGACTGTCCTGGAACCTTTTAAAAGATATGCTATGAGATGGTAAGTGTACTTTGCAGAATTCTTTTAGTCTGCATATCCCATTCAAAGCAAATTACACAGGAAAAAAGTGTGTGGACATTGTTCTAAATTATTGAGTTCTGGTGTAATGGTTGCAAGGACAGTATTTTTGCTTGCTCAGGATTGGGTGATGGAAGTCAGCAGAGCTTCACATCATTCACTAAACTTTCCATACAAAGTAAACAGCCTATTTGCCTTTAGTAAATCACCCCAATGTGTTCCATTTACAAAAGACTTACCTTATTCATGACCTGAGCATTATTCTTGGCCAAAACTAACTCCATAGAGTCAAGCACGCTTGTAAAGCGGAAGGTGTCGGGGTGCTGGCGGTATTTCTTCTCGCTGATGATATCCATAGCTTTCCTGTTCTTCTCGGCTTCCTGGGATCCATAAGGAATCCATCCTACACCCTTCATATATTCATTGAAGTCTGCCTTGTAGAAATTCTGAATTAGGGAGAAGAAACAGAGTAGAATCAACATATCCAATTTTTAATAAGCTGTTAGGTAATAAATAATGCATAGCCATGGAAGAAATTACTTCCTCACACACAACACTTACATCACTTTGTATCTCATTGGCTTTTCTTGCTTGGACAAAAGCTGTCTGGTCAGGTAGACATGTCCAGTTGTGCAGGCGCCGCTTGTAGTTAATGTCGCTGACTAGGGTCTGGCATTTTTTGGCCAATAGGAAGCTGATCATGTCCACAGGCGTGTTGAACTTTGTCTTACTCTTTTCAAAGTCTTTCTTGTATTCCCGATCACTCTGGATTTTAGCCAAATGCATGGACCATACCAACTTAGGATCATCCTTAATATTGCGGAATCCAACATGGTGTCCCTGTTGCTTCCTGTAGGCTGTTTTGTATTTGTACTAAGATAAGGAAAAGCAAAAATGCATTGTTATTATATGATAATATCTTTGCAGTTTTTTTCCAAGAGATTATTTTTTTTTTACATCATTCATTTTCCCATTAACTAAATGGATGTTTCTCTAAATATTTTGTCAGCAAAGAGGTTGTGAAGAATGGTTATTGTACCCCAACAGAAAATAATAGGCAATGTTTTTTTAAATTTAGAAATGAGCTCAAATAGGACTAGAATTACTCTTCAAAAGAGCTATCCATTGAAAGCAGCGAGTACATTTCCAAGCAACTTCACATAACTCAGGGGGCTCTAGTACTGAGATCTTTGCATTGAGTTCTCAAATTCACCAACCTGTCATGGCCATTAAAAGAGGGTTATCACAGTTTTTTGAATCGATTGTAAGAATGTCACCAGCACTCCAGAAGTCCTTTCAGGATAACCAAGTGTTCATTTATTAAGAACCATGTCAAATGAAGACGAGCGCTATCAGGGCCACGCAGGGTCTCTTCATCAGGCTTAACATTGACAGTCATTTTAAGCCTGATGAAGGGACCAATAGCTGGCGATTCATGCAACAGGCGGCACCATCCGCAGTCACTGCGGGCACCCTTCCCTGCTATTGGGACATCTGGTAAGGACTGCAACAAAACCTTCACACTTTATAACTGTTTCTGTCACAGTTTTATTTTACATTACAGAAAAGACAAAAAAAACTGTAAAATGCTGTCTCTTGCCTTTGTTATGACCCTGGTAAAAATCAAACTCAATAGCTTCTTTAAAGAAAACCTGTTAGTGCCGTGATCCCACTGGATTTCCTTGTGAGATAAAATATGGTAATGAATGACTGAACTGATAACCTCTTATAACTTCATGTGTGTCATATTGACTGTTTAACACTTTGGATGATTCTAAAAATGAAAGGGTAATTAAATCTCCTGAAGAGGGATTTTCTAAAGCTGGCCATATATGAGATATGAGATGATGAATGCCTGATGCAGCTGTATTTCAGATGAATCCTTCAATGATTTCACAGTTATGGCCAACCAGTCATGCTCAGTTTGAAGACATTGTGAAACGGTTATTGCTCACCCAAGATGAGACGCCGCCTTTTCTGTGTACCTGCTTATCTACCTTCTGCCTTCAATAGACTTGTATACTTAGGTCAACCAATACCAATTCTGCCTGTATAATCGACTGTTCTTGAATGTCTTCCTGAATTGAGTAATTCAGTCCAAAAAAACAATAACATTACACTCATACTTACATCACTGGCAATATCTCTGGAGGCTCTGGCTGCCTTAATCGAAATAGCATCTGGTCGTAGATCATAGCCCTTCTTAATAGTTTCTTGCCATCCTGACTTGTATTGTTTCTGGAACAAAAGAAAATCAATAATTAAAAATTGTCCAAATCTGTACAAAATTGCATAGGGATGTTTTATCCCACTAGAAGAATGTATCTTACTCTATTGCTGAACATTCAGGACAACAGGGATTGTTACAACAGGCTTGACAATAGGCTTCAATAAGAACCACAAGCAATGCATTTCCATGTTTTAGATTCCAACTATTAGCTGGAATCAGAAAGTCAGTTACTGGGTGAATGAAGTAGATCTGTCACTAAATAATTATGACATACACACTGATAGGATGGGGGCAGGAAATCCCATCCCCTGTCAAGCAGTTAAGAGAGATGTGATGAGGGAGCCAAAGGATCCCTTTACCAGATCACTTCTTAGGAAGACATACGTGGATTGATGTTCTCAGTGGAGCAGGATATATATTTTTTTCTCAAATATTACTAAATCTTTTAAATCGAAGCTGAATCTCTGTTCAGGCAAACCCTTTCACCTTTCACTAGCTACAACAAGGTAATTATTCAAGGGATCCAGCCGTAGCTTCAGTACGGGCTTTTCACTACAGCCCGTACAGCAGCCGAGCGGCTGAGCCGAAGGCATATGCTTTGGCTTGACTGAGCCGAAGTGACACCCGAAGCGAGGCGAGCGGCCTGCCGAAGGCCAGGGGTAAGCCCCGCAAATGACAGCTAGGCGGAGCCAGCCGTGATCTCATGGCCAGCTCCACCCAGGTAATATTCATTGGCCGGGTCCTGCTAGAAGACTCCCGGCCTAGCAGGTCCCGGCCAATAGGAAACAGTTGGGTGGAGCTAGCTGTCACTGCTAGCTCTGCCCAATAGTTTTTTTATTTTTTTAAAATCTTTATTTATTTTTTAATTTTACAATTTATTTACATTTTAAAAATATTTTTTCCACTTTATTTTTAAAAACTATTTTCACTGATTTGCTATTCTGCTTGGTACCACGGAGGTACCTGAGCATAATAGCTGAGCCGAATGCTGCTCGGCTATTGACTCACTGCCATTCGTCCCCTATGAAAATAGGGGTGAACGACAACGAGTGAGCTGCCGGAGCTTCGGCTCAGCCAATCCAGATGTGGGATCGGCTGAGTCGAAGTCCTTCTGCACTTCGGCTCAGCCGAACATGCAGAACATCTTCGGCTGACCGAAGTGCAGTCGAAGGCAGCTGATGTATAATTGATTTCAGCCGATGGACGGAAGAAATCAGCCGTACAAGCCAGAAGTGAATACCCGAACTTGGTTGAGGTCACTTCACTTCGGCTGGGTTATTCACTTGGCTGCCTCCGGCAGCTTTGTGAATAACTCCCTAAATAAAAACCAGTCAACAGCTCCAGATTTGTCATCATTTTCTGCTTTCCAGTTTCAATGGATCTGCCCCTTAATCTGGATCTCACTTGAGGGAATTTCAGAAATGACATAACACAATATCAAACCGATTGTAGATACAAATGGATTTCATAATGCATTTTGACTATATAAAGTGCACAATCTTAGCAATATTACTCACTTCACTGAAATTGACCATGTTCTGTTTGGCCTGAAGAATATCTGGTGTGTCTGGCATCACATGGATTTTTATCTTATCCTTCTCCCAGGCATCAATGTACAGGCGCTAATAAATATAAAACAATATTAATTCATATGCACCACAAGAAAATGTAACAGCTCTGACATCATACTAAAAATGTGCAATACACTCTATGGTATTAGATATTGTAGATTATAACAAACACAACTGCTAAGCTCTCAGGAACTGCACTTGAAAGTCTTTGTTTGGTTTTCAGTATCAACTGTACCATAAAACCCCACAATAAATTAAGCTTTCTTCATGTATTATTAGTGTTTATGATTGTGTTTTATTTTTGTTCATTATCAAACAACATTTCAAATATATCAAATAAAATTCTATAATTTAATATATGTTCAATAGTCTCTTGAGGATGTATTCTTCCCAAATATTTAAGACTAGAGGTGAGCAAAAGAGTTTAAATTTTCCTAAATTTTAGGCAAAAGTTGGCAGATTTCAGGGAAAATGTTGGAATTTTGGCAAAAAGCAAAAGGAAAAGTGAAATTAAGTAGATATTGGTGGTTTTTAAGGGTCTTTAAATGGCCCCTGATGATTAGAAAAGCTCTTTTCTAACCACCCTGGACCTGTTCTTGGTCCACGACATGGCCGCTTATTAGCCTTATTATTTTCACATTTATTTTATTTCACTTTATTTGCCTAAGCTGCTGAAAGAGGGAAATTGAGAGTTTCTGCAAAATTTTACCAAGAGCAATTGTTGTTGTTTTTTTGTGGAAAAATCAATATTACCAAAAATGTAGCTTATTTGTGCAGGGCCGGATTTACTCTCTCTGCTGCCCCAAGGCCTGGTTTCTCTGGGGCAGCAGGCTTGGTTTTAATTTTTTTCAATTTTTTCCTTATTTTAATTTTACTTTATTTTATCAGTATCGCCGAGATCACTTGTACTTAAGAACAGAAAACGAAACGAACGTTCGTACGAACACTACCGAATTTCGGAAATGGAAATCGGATTCGTTTGCATTCGTTATGTCTGTAATTCGGAATTCGGATACATCCGAATGTCCGAATTTCGATTCGGAACTAAACGAATCGCACATGTCTATAAAATACCACCTCCTCCGTTCTACATTCAGCCCTGCTTCCCCGAAGCAGGGCTAAATGTAGAAAAAAAACTACCTGCCTGGCGGCTGTGCTGCCCCTCTACCCCTTGCTGCCTCGAGGCCAGGCCTCCGTGGCCTTGTGGGAAATCTGGCCCTGTATTTGTGTATCACTCGGCTGTAGATCCTCAAATCATCTTTGAATTGGTGCTGACACTGTCCTTCCTTCGGGAGGGGGGCTACTTTTCTTCCCCATGGTCCCTGTGTGTGTTTTAAAGTAGTCACCTCGCCACGCTTACTCCCGTGATGGACTACAATCTCATATTTACTAATTTGTACTGAAGTTATAGTCTACCACAGAAGCGAGCTTGGAGCAGTGACTACTTTACAACACACACAGGGACCATGGGGAACAAAAGTAGCCACCCTCCAGAAGGATAGTGTCGGCACCAATTCAGAAATAGTCAGGGTGCTTGAATGCATTTTTAAGGTTTCCCTCCTGAGTTTAGTGTCACTTTAAGACACACTTACTTTGCTAGCTGCTCCTCTTACCTCGCTGCAAGTTTCCCACACAGGATGTTTCTGATTAAAAACATTGGGTTCTGTAATTGCTGAAAATGATGTGATATGGTAATGCGGACATGTGATCTACTGATTCATATGAACTATACATTATTTAGGGACACTACATTGACTTTAGGCCAGTTTTATGTTACTTTGAAGTTGATAAGTTTATAAACTGATTTTCTTTATTTTTATTTTTGCATTGGAGGAAAGGGTTCTCTCCTTTGAGCACAGCTGCTGTTATGCAGAGACTTCACAGAGCATCAATCTACTGGCAAAGAGTTGTAATGGTAAGTATGAAATATTTATATGCAATATGTTATAGTTACTGGATTAAATAGAACAAACAAGACAACATTTTTTTATTTTAGTACTAAAGATAATAAATAATTAAAGAAAATAAATACAAACCACTACAGAGTCCCTTTAATTATATATTCACTCTAATAGCAAAGTGTTCCCAAGAATGAAGTTAAAATGATGGCATCTATGTCTAGACTATAACAAATTTAATGTGGTAACTTACTTTATTCATAGTGACAGCGTTCTGCTTGGCTAAGTCAAGATCCATGGAATCCATTTGCTTGGTAAAGGAAAACTTGCTGGGGTGTTGGCGGTATTTGGCATCACTCATGATTTCAGAAGCTTTCTTGCTCTTTTCGACATCAAGAGAGCCCAGGGGGGTCCAGCCCATTCCTTTGTACCACTGATTGTAGTCTTGCCTGTATTCATTCTGCAGATTAGAGATTAGGAAATTATTAAACCATAAAAATACGCTCATGCAATGCAATATTGTTTAAATAATGCAGTACAGATGCTGATTGTGAAGCCAATGCAGCTGGAAAACTATATGAATAAAAGTTCAGCTTCACCACAAATTTTTATAAATGCATGTATAAAACCAATAAAGGCTAAAAAGCAGGCGATTTTTGCATTACATCACAGTAATGTGCAGAATTTGTCTGATTTTAATCCGCACAAGCTTTATAACTATGCCCATATAAGGTCCAACTTTGAGCTGTTACATGCATATTTCCTGTTCTCATCAACACAACAGTGGCTGATATGCTAGTAGAAAATAAGATTCCCTAATGACCTTAGGTACTTACGTCACTCTGGATCTGGTTCATGTTCTTGGCAAGCCGGACGTGCATAGCATCTGGCAACAAGATGTACTTGTGGAGGAGATTCTTGTAATTGGTATTCGAAGCGATAGCCTGGGCTGCCTTTGCCGCTGTGACACTGAACGTGGTGAGTGGTGTGTGGTACTTGGTCTTGGTCTTCTCATACTCTTTCCTGTATTCACGGTCGCTCTGCATCTTAGCTACATTCATGAAGTGCACCAGTTTGGGGTCATCTTGAAGATTGCGGAATCCCACCATCTTTCCTCTGGAGGTTTCATAGGCTTTCTTGTACTTATACTGGGAAAAAAGAATAAAAGACGTATTAGAAAGCTGTAACTTAAAGTGGACACTATATTGGCTTTTAGTAATTTTTATGGTACTTTGTAGTTGATAAATCAACTTCAAAGTAACATAAAAGTATGAAACTAAGAACTGATCTTTAAGTTTTAGAGCCATATTAGCTGGTTGTGGCTGCTCAGGAACAAACTTATTTAAAATGAATTGATGAGACTCTTCATCTGACCTCAGTAGCAGAAGTCAGCCTCTAAAGCTGCAATAATATTAAACAAAGATTCTGGAGGAGAAGACGTAAAAGTACATTGATGGCCCCTGCGCTCCAAGCCAGCAGTCATGGTTGCAACTATGTCCATAAATTCTAGCATGTAGAATATAGAAAACCTGTCCCTATAGAGGGCAGGAAAGAGGACACACCTGACAGAGCTTAGGTAGACTCCAAGAAGTGTATAGGCTCAAACATGACACTGCTTCTAGTGGCACATCACTTACTTCCCCATCATGTTAACCCTTTCCGTCATAAACTGATGCACAGATATAAATAAAAAAGGACTTCTCAGAAACCCAGAGCCCAATACCTGAAGGTGGCATTCCAGGTTATCTTCGCCCTGTCCGTGGGCATAACCACAGTGGGTTACACCAGAGGCTGTGCCATGGCTCTGGACATAGGGATGCACTGCGGATCACTAACACAGTACACAAAGGTATGGAAAGGACAACAGGCCACAATCTTTGGTCCAGGATATAGCCCCCAAGGCATCGCCAAAGGATAAACTGATCTGGATAGCTACATAATGAGCTGAGATCAGAAGCGTGTATATGAAGTCCTGATTGAAGCAAAAAAGATCTTTTCAAAAATGTAGATGACTAATGCTAATAGTTGAACTTTTCTCCGTAGAGAAAAGATGTCCATCCTCTGTCAATGCAGACATGACGCCGCGACCCACTGCAGAGGGTGTCGCGACCCACTTTTGGGTCGCGACCCACGAGTTGAGAACCACTGCTCTAGAACACTTGCAACAAAACTTAAGCATGCTAGGAGTAGGAGGGGTTATGCCTGGCTGGCCAATGGCTTCTTTGTTTGCCAGTGTCCAATTCCTCCTGAAGATGGTAGTATAACCCAATTGTCTCAGAATTACTGAATCCTTTGTCCCTTTTTGAATAATAGAATAGAGTTCTGGCCTTAGATAAAATGTAACAGTTCCCCTGAAGACCCATTTGCTTGGTCATATGATCTCTGCTGAAGAGGATAATTAGGCATTCTCCCCCCCCCCCCCTACACACACACACACACACACACACACACACACACACACACACACACACACACACACACACACACACACACACCTTTCAGTACAGATCATGTGGTCAAGTGCATCCACCCATTCTGCCAACACTAACAAGAGCCTGGATCCACATTTTCTCTATGAAAGTTTAATTTTAAAGCCCTTCTCTTTTTCTTTTTTTTTTTCCTTTTCAGCAAGACTGTTGATATATCTTTATGTCAATATTTTAGTATAGATTTACTTTAAGTAAAATGATGAGCAACTTTTGTATGAATTAGAGAGAAGTTTTGCAAGGTTTTGATTTGCAGCACGCTAGGCCACTGGTGGTAGTCTTTACTGCAAAGAAAGAAATATATTTTCTTAAAGTAATGACTAAAAAGGAAATTGAATCAACTGCTAAATTAGTCACAATGTTACCTTCACATACAGATTATACAGGGACTACTTTTTATGGCAGTATGTGACTATATGGAGTTGCACAGATTCACAATAGAGCCATTGCTTTGGCCAGGAAATTACAATAGGCATTTCACATATGATAGATAGTCCATGTCACATTGCCATTGCAATCTTCAGTTTCATTGGTACAGTTGTTGGACAACTGTTTTTTTTTTGTTTGTTTTTTTACGTCATCATGAAGGAACCAACAACACATGAACCTGGACAGTTTAACCTATCCATACTAGCCAAATGTGACTATAAAGTGCTGCGGTTATAGTGGATATTTCATCGAAAAGCCTTGAAAAACGATGAGCCTTGGTATTTAACCAGAGGAAAACTTACATCACTAGCAATGTCCCTGGAGGCTTTTGCAGCTCGGATGGCGATGGCATCAGCTCTGAGGTCATATCCTTTTTTCTTAGACTCTTCCAGGGCTTTTCTGTATTGTTTCTAAAAATGTAAATGTAAAAAACACAATGAGAAACAATTACTTGAACAATCTACACAGTCTATGAGTAAATGGCATGCTAGGTCAAATACAGAACAAAAATGAAAGAGGTCACTGGCAGGAAAAAATACCAGGAAAACTGAACATTTCTTGGTGTGGTTTGACAAAAGATTAGATATTTTGCTTTTACAGAGATATTTAAAAATGATTTGCCCTTTTTCAGATATGTCTATCCTACTGAAATAGTTCCATATGGCAACATACATCTCAAGACTAAACACAGTAGAGATGAATGGTCACAGTTAACTATATACTAACACATGTTTATTTTATAAAAAAAAACAACAAGCAAGCAATGAGAACCTGTCTAAGAAGGGAATTTCCCCCTCTTTGGGGAGATTTCCTCTCACTTCCTGTAGCATCACCAAGGAAGGGAGTGAAGATAAATCACCTCCGCAGGAAACACCAAAAATCAAAAACAAAACATCATGGGACTTTTTGAGGGTAAGAGTGAGAGCTGTGTGTTCTATTAGCATCTTGCAGGGTTAAGGTATTTTTATAGAGGTGATGGTGTGTTTTTATGTGATTTGATATTAATTAGTATACGATTGTTTCATTCCCAGTGTGTGCATCTCCGAGGGGTTCTTCCTTGATTTATGTTTCTGTTGTTTGGTCCCCACCCCCACTAGCAAAATATGTAATGCATAGCTAGGTGGTGCAAAGGAAAAAATACTTCTCTTGGTATATGCTTTATTAAAGCAGCATAAATGGTGTATTAGCACAGAGAAGTCTTGACGGCCTATATCACATCAAGCTACATCACCAGGGTGCATGACAGGTGCTGGCTGGGAGCCGTCCTTACTCTGTCATAACACTATCCAAGAAGATGCTGCACACTACTCGTTCACCATTTTATATTTATGTAATCCAACAGCCAGCTTGGTATAGTCCCCGCGTAGTAGCTTCCCACCTCAAGGCGGTGCCACTACTAGGTGGGGACTATACCAAGCTGCCTGTTGGATGGAATAAATTATACATACGATGAATGAGCGGTGCAGCAGCATAAATGGTGACTATAAAGTCATAAGCGAATATATACGGTCATGCATGTTTCATTCACGATGCTGTTATACAGACTAAAGCTAGTCTGTTCATTGCAGGCAAAAGCAGCAAGTTCACTTTAATGGCAGCCTCAGTAGCTGCACATGCTTTCTCTCTTCTGCTGTTACATTTGGCCATAAAGAGTGCTGCTAGTCTTAACTTAGAGCTTACACAGTGCTGAGGACTCTCTCCCCACCCCATGTGACAGCTCTGGGTGCTTAAGTGGCTCTTCACCAATCACACCTGTTACAACGGAGGAATGGGAGCGAGTCATATAGTTCCCTTTGTAGGAAGAATGGAGTTTTTTCATTTATTTTCAATAGCTGTATGTAGCAGTTGGGCAGCAAGGGTGAGCATAAGCAGCTAGTAAGACCATCTTAAATATACTTTAAAAATACCTGTTTTTTTTCCACCTACTTTCCATGAGAATTTGTCCTTAGACAAGCAACTTGGTTTTAAAAAAAACTACCTTGATACATATCTAGATTCCAAGTAATATATTCAAAATTCTTGCTTTGATCACATTTCTTAGTAATGGTCACTTTTAAGTCAGACCTTAAATTATTCTTTTATCTCTTTTTTTGCCTACTTAGTAATTTAGCAAGCCCATGTGAAGATTTCTTTCTCTCTAATGTTCATTATCCTTCTTCACAGCAAAGTTTGAGCCTCTTTCAGCTGTCAGCTAATTATTATGTATGTCTTGTTCTTTGATGTTGACTTTAGATACCACTGATAAAAGAGAATATTTTATGATATCAAAAATAAAACCTGCACATAATTCCCAGGCATCTGCTATAATGGATTTAAAATTCATGTTGATTTAATGTGAGCAGAAATTAGAAAGTTTGCATAATATGCAGAACTTTTAAAGAAGTAAAAAACAAAATACTGTTATCAGAGTCTTATTGCCTTAGGCCATTAGCAATTAAATGCTCGAACAGACAGTCCTCTAATCTGGCAAGTGTGGTGCAAAGTCTTACAGTACGTTTTTCTTTAAAAAAAGGTTAGCAGTAGAAAAGCCTGTCCCTTACCAGTATAGTGTAGAGAAGGACCTTTGCCCTTTGTGTGGAAGAAGTGGTCTCTCTGCAGAGGTCCGACACAGCCCCTACTGAGTCAGACATTTAGCTCTGCAATCAACCAAGTGAATGCTCTCTGCTGGTTGGAGAACATTAGCTCTGACACAACAGGGGGCAAGTATTTGCTCTGCAGAGAGACCACAGCTTCCTCATGGAGAACAAGGGTCCCACTCTGGCAGAGGACAGGCTTTTCTACTTAGGCTGTGACTGCTTTCTAAAGAAAACAAACTGTAAGGTGTTAAACATCTTTTCTTTTGCTGCAGCTAGAACATATTAAGCAGATTCATACCTGCCAAAATGCTTCCATGCTGGCATTACAGCAAGTTGAGTACCTTGACAGCCAATTACGTAATGTATGAAGTGATAATGCATTTCTAGGTGCAACCAAACACTGGCATGTGTTGCGCAGATTATCAGACATGGGATTATATTTGCCTCAACAAATATTGTCTAAATGCAAAAGATGTATATTCTAACTTGGACCTTGGTGTCCATTTTGTATTTCTACCATATCTGCGCAGTAATCCAGCATGAGACAGCATGCACTTTGCCTCTTTGCAGGAGCTTCCTGTAATAAAATATCATCACTTCTGCACTCTGTCCATGTGCAGGGTAACTGGTCTTGTATCTACCCCCTCCCCCAAAGTTTTCTGCAGGCAACCTATACTGGTGGACCTTCTGCATCCCAGTCACATATCAGGCTATGTGCAGCTCAGTAATGATGTTGCCAATTCTTTTCAAGGTAATACCTAGCCTTGCAATGGCATTTGGTCCACACAAAGTAGATGTATATCCTTTGTTTCTACTGAGGAATACATTTAGATTAAAGGTTTCATGCCTGGAATTCAGCTTTAAGTAATCATACTTGTGAAATATAGACATACCTCACTAATATTGAAAGCATTGGCTTTAGCCAAAACCACATCTGGAGTATCTGGCATGACATGGATGGTCCTCTTGTCTTTCTCCCAGGCTTGCTTGTACAGATTCTATAAAGCAAAACAGAAATGTGATCCAAACATTAAAACATACCACCCCAAGACTTTGAAAATAGCACTATGTAAGACATCTGCCACATAGAATGGTTATTTTTAATGAACTATGTATTATTATAATAGAGTGCATAATTCAAATCTTTACTATAAAAAAAGGTTACATTGAGCCAGTGGTTGTCAACTTATGAAGTAAAGGGGTCCTCGTGTGCGGCCCCTAAAAGCACCAAAGGGCAGCACATTATATTCAGTATATGTAATGCTACAGAAGAGAGTCAGATGCTGCAGATACTGGAGGAGATGACCAGGGACTGCAGTTATGTTACAGGTAATGTTTTAGACTCCCAGTCAGTACTCCCAGTCCCAATATTAGGGCCTACAAAGGGCTTCATGTGGCCCTCAGGCTGCAGGCTGGGAAGCAGTGCATGCATCCCTAGGCAAACACGATAACATCCTTAAATTTTGATTATATTTGCGAAGACACTGATGACTTAATTTTACCAGTCACACATTTTCAAAACTTGATAATTTAATCCCACTAAAAATGGGATTGCATGATGTGGTTTTTTTATTGGATAGATTACCTGTGCTGTTAAACATAACACTTATTTGATTCATGGATGTTATGACTGAGCATTGGTAACTTATAAAAATATAGCTTTGATGCAATAGAGAACACTTACTTTGTTTGTGATCTGAGCATTGTTTTTGGCAAGTACCATCTCCATGGAGTCAGTTATACTGGTAAACTTGAGGGTGTCTGGGTGTTGGCGATAGCTCTTCTCACTGATGATCGCCATAGCTTTCTTGTTTTTCTCAGCTTCCTGAGAGCCATAGGGCACCCATCCAACACCTCTCATGCATTCATTGTAGTCTGATTTGTAAAGATTCTGTGTTAACAGACAGGGACATGTATCAATATCTTACATATAATTTCAGTTGATTATAAGAGAATATAAGAGAAAAGGCTGGATTAAGGATGAAAACAGTCCGAGGGCCATAAAAATTCTAATTACTCTATTAAAGAAAAAGACCAATGTGAAAATCCACATATATATATTTGAGAAATTTGACAACGTTGCTCCTAGGGGAGGAACTGCTGCAGATACCTTTTTAATGAGGCTTTCATTTTTCTTAATAACCCCTTTAATATAAATATTCTGAACTTTCATTGAATTCTTTATCAGTGTCAAGTAGTCTTTAGTAAATTAGCCGTTGAACTAACAATTCTTTCCTTATGTTCAACATCTGACTGTTGATACTTACATCACTCTGTATCTGCATCCTGTTCCTGGAAAGTTGAAGGGGCATGGCATCGGGCAAGAGATTGTAGTTGTGGATAAGACGTTTGTAGTTAGTATTAGATGCAATATTCTGAGCCAGTTTGGCAGCAGTCACGCTGAACATGTCTACTGGAGTGTGGAATTTAGTCTTGGACTTTTCGTAGCCCTTCTTATATTCACGATCAGACTGCATCTTTGCCACATGCATAAAATGCACTAGTTTAGGGTCATCCTGCAGGCTCTTGAATCCAATGTGTTTTCCTCTGGTCTGTTCATAGGCTTTCTTGTATTTGTACTGTAATTTGGGGTCAGAAACACACAAGTTGGTCAGTAACAAGGAATCATTTTTATAAAGGCGTTTACATAAGGGACCAGTTTGTTGAACAGAATGTATAATAAAGGGAAGTCAGATACTTTAGTTATTGTCACCATCCCTTTAACATGACATCTATTCATTTATTATATGGTTTACAATTTGTATTTTAAGTTTTTAATGACTTCTCATTATAAACAAACCCAATCCACAACAGTCAACTGCATATTGGATAGACGGCACCTCATTTATACCACAATACATCTGCTTTGCTTATAGCCACCATCCCTTTAAACATTTTCTGTTCATCTGAAAGATTTGGTGTCTTATAATTATTGTTTGAAGTATTTAATAACTTTCTAGTATATTAAACCCAATCCTCAACAGTCAATGGCATAATGATGAGATTAGCCCCGTTCATACCACACCCCAAATCCTTAGAGAATTAGAGAAACCTACATCACTGGCAATGTCCCTTGAAGCTCTGGCAGCCTTTATGGATATGGCATCTGGTTTCAAGTCGTAGCCCTTCTTCTTGGCATCTTCCCAAGCTTGCCTGTACTGTTTCTGAAAGTAAAATAAAAAGGAATTAACAGTAGAAAATAGGCAGCATGTAATATACTATAACCTAATCATTCCCCAGGGACAGTTAGCTAAATTGCTACAGCAAGCTACTTATGTTGGATTTCGTTTTATCTACCGTTTTGAAAGCAAATAAACTGCATCTTACTTGCACCTCCTGTCTCCAGTGGAGTGTCCTTGTTACAACACATGACAATAAAATGGTTTGTGTACATGGGAAACACAGGAACAATGAGTCACCAATAAAGGCACAGCCTGATCAACTGTACATTACATAGTATAGAATACAAAACTGTGTTCCTCAGTTTTTAATACGGTCATCATAAGTAAGCCATAGATATTAGCATACCCTATTCCATCAGATAACACATACCATATTACTTTTCATTAAGTGTCTTAACCACAAACTATTTTTAAAATGATGCTATGTATGCCAAATAATAACTGATTTTAACTTACATCACTTGTATTCGTCTGGTTGACTTTAGACAGTAGAATTTCAGGAGTATCTGGCATCACATGGATTTTGGTCTTGTCTTTTTCCCAGGCTTGTGTATAAAGTCTCTGGAAAAAAATCCCCAAAAAACAATTTTACACTGCACACTATTAAAAGAAGTATTCCTTAAACATTTGTTTTATTGTCTATATAGATTCTGAAACAATCCATTTTCTGGAGGGAGCTACAGACTTAATTTATTTTTTTCAATAATTCATGTGTTAGGAATATTATATTTATTTCAACATGATTACCTGCCATATGATCACATGACTGAGAACCACAATGATTGGTTCCCAATCGCTGAGACCTGCAGTGACAGTGTGGTCACAGAACTAAGTGTACACAGGTGTGTTCTCTTAGCCCTCAGGTGGAATGCAGTGTCTGGAATAAAGTGGCTTGTTCTACACTTGTGAGGAAAAAAACATCTAAGTTCTATATCAGGATCTAAGCATGTGTATTCTAATGAGATTTGGCACCTTGTGGCAACTAATTTTAATAATATAAAATTAGAATTTCACTTTTTCATATTTACAAGCATAACATGTTTTATATTTTAAATACAACAATAAAAACAAAAATTCTCATCAACAATACTAATCACAACTGACTCAGTTTAAAAGTAATTTGTACCTTATTCATAGTTTTTGCATTAGCCTTTGCAAGTTCTTGATCCATGGCATCGTTTGGAATGGAAAATTTCCACTGATCTGGATTTTGTCTGTATTTCTTTTCACTGAGGATGCCAGTGGCTTTCTTGGCTTTTTCAACATCCAATGATCCAATTGGTACCCAACCGACTCCTTTCAGCCAGTTATTGAAATCGGTCTTGTATTGGTTCTGTAAAATAATGTAAGAAAAAACAAGGAAAGAGAAAAAATGAAAAATAAATATATGGATAAAGTGAGGGGTGGGGGTTACCCATCATAAATCCGACAAAGACATGGAGACCCACAGATCAAAAATGCACCTAACTAGCACATTAGCTTCTCTTTATTTACTTTTCATCAATAAAAAGGATGAGCCACAAGAAGAGTGAGCTAACAACACATTTGCTAGAAGGATAGGTGTTTCTGCAAGTGCTTTTGGGCTGACATGAGTATTTATGGTCTGTTCAGCTTCAATCACTTTTGTTTCAATAAACAACAAAACTAGAGCTAATGGAGCAATGGTACACAGAATGTTGCTGATACTGGAATTTAAATGTTGGGTTACCAACAAAAAACCTAAATTGGTTCTCATAATATGCCAGAATGGCTCTGAATGAAACTGAAACATACAATATAATTGTTCCTTTCTTATAAAAAGAGCGCCATGGAACGTTCACTTACATCACTCTGGATCTGCATCATGTTTCTGGAGAGTGCTAGATTCATGGCATCCGGCAGAAGGGTGTAAGAATGGAGCAGCTGCTTGTAGTTTGTATTGGTGGAAATTTCCTGAGCTTTCTTAGCAGCAGTGACACTGACCATGTCAATAGGAGTGTGATACTTTGTCTTGCTCTTCTCATAGTCCTTCCTATATTCACGATCAGACTGGATTTTAGCCACATGCATGTAGTGGACCAACTTAGGATCATCCTGTAGGCTGCGGAATCCCACATGCTTACCCCTGGCCTTTTCATAGGCTTGTTTATATTTGTACTAGTGGAAGCCAAGAAAAAGATGGTCAGATGTCTGCAACTTCAAATATCTCATTTAAGTTCATTTTGAAATAATCTTATTATTAAGAAAATGGATTAACATATTAGAAAAAAATACATTTTCAAGGTGTTATAATAAATGATCATTATATCTGCATAATCTGCTTTCTGACAGCACAGGCTGATGAAGGTGAAGAAGGGTAGAGTGTTTTCAGGGCCAACATTTTGATGGTGTCTGGGACCGCTGTGCTGTTTATTTAGATTTGTACAGAGATGGTTTGGGAGGGCGCTCCTGTAGGCCCCCGACTTGTCCCCCAAAGCCACTTATCTTAGCTGCATAGTCGGACGCAGTTTTCTGATGCCATTATGTAAAATGCAGGACACCCAGTCCTGAATTACACAGGAGGACATCAAGGTATTGCCCATATTCTGGAGAATTAACAGTGGAGGAGAGCGCCAGCTGCCAGGGGAGCAAGGAATAAGTTAAGTATTCATACTAATTCTTTTCCTCCCTATCCAAAGAAGCATTTAACTCATGAGAGGGGTAAATTTAACAGCAGCTCAGAGGGCTTTTAACCTGAGGAAGATCATCCTTTCAAGTGAAACTTCTACTGTTTTCACTGCTCATATGACACTGGGCAACTAAGCCTTAAAAAAGACGCAGAGTGGGGTACAATAGCAGATCATATAAAGAATGACCTACATGAGAGCAATCATGTAATATACTCACATCACTGGCAATGTTTCGTGATGCCTTAGCAGCAAGAATTGAAATGGCATCAGGTTTAAGGTCATATCCTTTAGCCAGGTGCTTGATCCAGTCAGCTTTATAATTAGACTAAAAGATAGGAAAAGATAAAAATGAATACATAATGTAGCTAGTTCTACCTATCTAGACATAGATGTATTAGTTAAAGTACAAGCAAATCCATTCTCTAATACCTTATATAAGCTTTAACATGTTAATGTAATTTAAAAAGTAAATTTCAAGCTTTTTAGATCTTTAGTTTTGCTGATCCTGTCATGACACTTCCCGTTATAAGGTGACAGTACTCTATCCTCATCTCCCAATTTTGCCCCTTTGTTGTCACCTATCTCACACGCTTCCCATGGAGACTACAAGTTGCTCTTTCAACACACATTACACCTGCCTAATCCATTATTGTCACCACCAGGAAACCCACCCTGAGAAATGCAACTGAGGCTGCAGGAGATTAGCAGCACTGAGATGCAACAAAGGACCAGAAAAGGTAAAAACAGTATTTTATTTTTATTGAAAGAGAAACTATGAATGATAAACAGTGCAAACAAAAGGTTATTCAGCTAGGGTTTACATCAACTTTAAATAATAGTAATTCTTCTGTTTGTTGGTTTCATCAACCACTTTGTTCCTTGTGGCAATGATGCATTTGACATCAATTTGGCCAGTTAGATGCCCTCACCTTTCCAGTTTAAACTACTGCAACCTTCTGCAATCAAATGTCTAATCTTTCAACTCTCCAGCTAAACTATGTTTTTTGGATGGCTAAATCTTTTTAACAAACTGGTAGGGTTTTATTCAACCTTTTGCAGAGTTTAACTAAAGTATACAGTATATAACATTAGACGTGGCTTCTTTAATAAAAGATGATCCAATTACATGTTTAATTGGCTACTACTAATTGAGCGAGATGAGCCCGCTTGACCCGTACGAGACCTGAATTAGACCAACACTTTTCTTTCTGTTCTTCCTGCCTTCCAACTTAGCAAGATGAATAATTGAATGAAACATTCTTATTCTTTCAGCTAACTAAATTCTACCTTTACTCTACACCACCTTTACTTTATTTATCTCCTATTTAATCAATTTTCCCTCCCAATGATATCCCTTACCCCTCCCCCCAGTTATGCTGGGATTAGTCTCCCACAGGTTAGGAAAATGTCAGATGCAGGACTAGATCTATAGCCCCTTGTTCCCATAGTCATGTTCGTATCATCTTCTATTAATAGACTAGTCAAGATACATATTTTATAAATTGAACTATTCTATTTGAATGCTATATTCTGATATCAATCGAATTTGTATTATACAATCCTGTATAGCTGCTGCTTCGGCTACATTTTATGACATGTTCCTGCACATTGTTACTGTTTCTTATTTGAAAAACTCAATAAAAATTTTGTGGAAAAAAGATGACATCTTACTTCGCTTATATTTAGTGCATTGACTTTAGCTTGGATGAAATTAGGATCATCAGGGTTCAGGTTATACTTGTGCTTCACTTTCTCTCCAGCTGATTTGTAGGTTATCTAGAAATGAAGAAAAAGTCCCTTTGTGATATCTGTCATAGTGCCAGAACTTACAAATAAAATTGTTATTTGTAATACTTACATCACTAAGCTGTTTGGTATTGCTCTGAGCTAAAACCATATTCATTGAGTCTGCAATGCTTGTAAATTTGAGAGAGTCAGGATGCTGGCGGTACTTATTCTCGCTTAAAGCAACTCCGGCCTTCTTAACTTTTTCAACTTCCAAACAGCCTAGGGGACTCCATCCGACACCCTTAAACCAGGCGTTGTAATCTTCCTTGTAGACACTCTGAAATAGAGCACACAATGGTAGGAAATTACATGGAAACTTTACAAGATATTAATGCCCAACCAGTCAAAACTTTTGATTCAGTTTTAGATAGAGCGCAAATGGGTTAAGGTTTCTGTCAAGCTTTGTCCCTATTGGAAAGAAAAGGACAGGTAGGACGTCTCTCTAATGGGGACACATAAAGAAACAAAAAAAACATTTTAGTAAAGTTGGGAAGGGTTAGAACTTATGACAATGTTTTTATTGCTGCCCCCGTGAGGACAGCACCCCCTCCCCCCATTTCTTATACAAATATCACAAGGTCAGAAGTCAGAAACCATCTCACTAATAGGGTCACAGGCAGTTATATTCATTTATTATGGAAAAATATTATACAAAATTTAAAGCTGGTTCTCCTTTGCATTATATGTTAACTGAAAGTAATAACTCTGCTTTTTTTATATACCCAAAGTCAGGCACACAATGTATACCCTGTTAGAATGACAACATGGAAGCAGGGCCTTGCTGTCATGAAAGCAGTTCAAAAGTATTAATTCTCTGCATTTCTAAAAGTCTGACAGTCTAGTAGATATAAAAAAAAGTGACAGAAATTTGAACGAGGTCCCACTGTGTGCAACACTAGAAAAAACAATTTTGGTTAAACCTCAACCTCTTCACCAAGCTACAACCCTCCAGCTGTTCAGCAGCTACAAGGCTTGGAGAGTCAAAGCCTGTTGTAACCTATACTCACATCACTCTGAATTTGCATCATTTTCTTAGACAACCCCACGCTCATGGCATCCGGTAAGTAGGTGTAGTGATGGATCGGCTGCTTGTAATTGATGTTGGTGGCTATTGTCTGGGACTTCTTGGCAGCTGAAATGCTGACCATGTCAAGGGGAGTGTGATATTTGGTCTTGGTTTTCTCATAGTTCTTCTTGTATTCACGGTCAGACTGCATCTTAGCCACAGCCATAAAATGCACAAGTTTAGGATCATCCTGGAGGCTTCGGAAGCCAACATGCTTACCTCTGGCTTTCTCGTAGGCTTGTCTGTACTTATACTGAAATGAAAAATTATAAGCAATGTTGTTATATTGTCACAAACAAAGTGGACTGATGGTTGATGTATATGTGTTTAAAGGTGTTAATGATTATGAATTGGATTATATAGATACTTCTGCTATATTGTGGATAAACAAATTTAAAAACAATATTGTTAATAATGGTAACGGACTGAAAAATGAATATAATTAAACTACCAAAATTATTAGTGGACTCAGTATTGTTAGAGTCGTCAGTACTTACATCACTGGCAATATTTCTGGAAGCTTTGGCAGCAACAATGGGAATGGAATCTCCCAGAACATGATGTCCTTTAGCAATGGTTTTCTGCCAGTCATACTTGTATAAACTCTGAAAAAGAAGATTGTTTACAAATACATCAGTTAATTTTTTTTAATATTCATTATTTCTTTATCTGTATTGGCAAACCAAAGGACAAATAGAAAAGTATGAAATAGTTGTGCCTTCATGATAACTACAACTTAAGGAAATGAAACAGCTTTGAAGAATGATAATGAACTAAGTGAGAAGGTGTAATCTATAGACGTGACTTTTATTTAGTTCCAACTTAAAAGTTGGTCTTATTTCAATGTTACCATGAGGCAGAGAGAAATAAGATTTACAGTATTACCAATGATACAAATGAACAAAGCACTATCATGGCAACCAGACTTCAGTCTACTATAACCTGATTAATGAACAGTGATTTCTAATTGGTTATGGGGAGCTGAATTTTTTACAATGCTCTCTGATTTACCATGATGTACATAATGCACAACTTGCATAATACATTTCCATTTTAAATCTACTAGCATTTACAGACTGTCATTACATTCTGTAGTCTTCTAAGAAAGTTGACAATGTTCTAATTTACAATGGGTGGTCAGCTGCATTTAGTTGCTCTTGGGAAAGTACTGTCCAACTTCAGTTTATAATGGGATATATTATAAATAAATACAATCCTGTTCTTACCCTGATATATGTATTTTACAGCTCTATTGGTATTCTTAAAGGGATTGCATCTTCAGATATCATAAGAGAATGCTTATTGTGAAACAAAGCCTAAAACAACGTGTAAGACCTATTACAGAGAAAGGATATAGTTTCATATTAACATGCACAATAGAATAAAACTAGTGACTTACATTACTAATATTAGCTGCATTGTATTTGGCTTGAATAAACTGAGGTGCGTCTGGGGTCAAATGGTATGTATGCAATATCTTCTCCCCTGAGGATTTGTACAGTTTCTGTAAAAAGAATAAGAAGATAACTGAATTAATAGGAAGCATATCCATACTGTTATCAAATACAATATTGTCATATTTCCATGTTGTTTACTACATTAAAATATACCAACATAGTATATAAGATGACTTACACAAATGGACCCATTAGTTCTTCATATTTGCAGCCTTGAACCTGACCATCTCAGATTATTATTATTATTATTATTATTATTATACAGGATTTATATAGCGCCAACAGTTTGGGCAGCACTTTGCAATATAGGGAGGACATTACAGTTGCAATGCAAATCAAGACAAAATGTTAAGGAGGGCCCTGCCATGTGACCTTACAGTCTAAATCTGCCCCATGTGACATGCTCCGCACACATGGTTAAAAACTATTAAGATATGGACTGGATAATTATTGATTAGTGGCTTGCGAGCTGTCACATCAGTACAAAAAATGACTGTCTAAACATTAACATCTGTGCAAGTTTTTGGGATGAAAGAAGATGGGGGCAGATGTCCAACTAGCTATTATTAATAAAACGTAGGGTTCAAGCAAGTCATTCACTGGCATGAAGGATAAACATGCAGGGGGAATGGCTCATGTATGGTGAATGATAGCATAAAACCCCAAATTCCTCATGAATTGGCATGTTTTAACTAAAAAAAAAAATGAAATTAGAATAATAAACAGGTAAATTGAACACCCGCCCTATGCAGTTTAGAAAGTACAAACAAATGAGAAGAAAGGAAATGATGTTAAGGCCACTTACATCACTGAGCTGAAGAGCATTCGTCTTAGCCTGGACCATAACAGGAGTATCCGATACACTTGTAAACTTAATGGTGTCTGGGTGCTGGCGATATTTCTTTTCATTCAAAGCATCGCCAGCCTTCTTGGCCTTCTCTACATCAAGAGACCCGATAGGGATCCATCCTGTGCCCTTCATCCAGCTGTTCAAATCAGACTTGTAGATGTTCTACAAAGGAAACAATTAAAATGCATCAAACTAGTTTGGTGGATGAGTTTGACTAAGCCAATGTCTCATAAAACTTTTTTTCGGTCATGTTACACCTCTACGTGACAAGTTTTGCAATAAGTACACCTGTACGGGTGAAAGGGGCCTTTTAAAGGAATGGAGAATGTTCTTCTAAAATATTATCGTGGCTTTGTACATTCAGCGGCATTGTAAAAAGAAATGTTTGTGAACTTGGAGTCTCTCAACTACAGCTGTGAAGCATTACTGGGTCATGCAGAACTGTCATTACCAATGGTGAATCTGGTTTTCAGCTTTTGGTTTCTTCCTACTCTAGCTAGGTATTACCCCCATTTATTTTAAAAAAATTGAAATAACCATCTATGCCACACACCTGCCGAATGATTAGCTTTAATGATTGTCACTATACAGTCTGTTTCATGAATATTAAAAAAAATATACTCTTCAGTATATGTATTGCTGAAGTACATTTGCTTATTTTTTTTCTCAGAATGACCAAGTCCCCATCCTAAGGTGAGTCAGTATGCTGCTCTCCGCATGACCATTGGAGCCACAGAGGTCAACATTGCTGGTCCACTGTTTAATTTACATAGTACCTCTGGTGCTTTCCACTGACAGCCATCACTAGAGTTAGTTTACCCCCCACAAGGTGGATCTACACATCAATCTTAAACTATACTAGAATGAGCCTAGGCACCACCAATAGTACATGTCTTGCACTTTGAGAAATCCCTGGACAGACAGATTTTTTTCATTATGAATCAACTCACGTCACTCTGTATTTCCATCATCTTCTTAGACAGTGTAATGCTCATGGCATCTGGTAAGTAAGTGTAGTGGTGGATTGGCTGTTTGTAGCCAATGCCACTTGCAATACCCTGAGACTTCTTGGCAGCCACCACGTTGACCATATCCAATGGAGTATTATATTTAGTCTTTTTCTTTTCATAGTCTTTCTTGTATTCACGTTCGGACTGCATTTTGGCCACGCGCATGAAGTGGACAAGCTTGGGGTCGTCTTGTAGATTTCGGAAACCGACGAGTTTTCCTTTCTGGGCCTCATAAGATTTCTTATAATGTACCTAACACAAGTACAAAGTGCATCCAAATGGTTACAAATCATAACTATGATATAATCAAATATCATGTGAATGTCATCAGATTAACAGAAATACAATTGTAAACAAGTTAATGTGTTATAATTCTGCATATTGTTTTTACTATATATTGCTTTAGGACAACATGATGTACGTATTGTAGTACGTATTGTATAAAACACATAGGGGGTTATTCACAAAGAAGCCGAAGGATCCAGCCATAGCTTCGGCTGATCCTTCGGCTCTCTTTGGCCGCCTGAGCCCTTCGGTTCAGTCGAATCGAAGGGCTGCTGTACGGGCTATTCACAATAGGCAGGTGAGCTGCTCAGCAGAGCTGAAGGCATATGCTTTGGCTCGATTGAGCCGAAGTGACACCTGAAGCGGGGCGAACGACCTGCCGAATGGCTGGCCGTAAGCCCCGCAAATGACAGTGATCTCAGTTGTAATGACAGATCAGCATCCCCAAATGACCTGGAGACGCTGATCTGTCATTAAACAATAACAACTGGGCAGAGCCGGCCGTGATGTCATGGCCATCTCCACCCTGTTGTTATTCATTGGCCGGGACCTGCCTGAAAACCCTAGCAGGTGCTGGCCAATAGGAACAGTTGGCACCGCTGTCACTGCTAGCACCGCCCAATTGTTTTGGTTTTTTTTAGAAAATCTTTATGAATCTTTTTACATTTAATATTTATTGACATTTGTAAAAATATTTGTAAAACTTTTTTTTAAAACAATTTTCACTATTTGCTATTCTCCTTGGTACCACGGAGGTACCGAGCCGAATGCCACTCGGCATCATTCGGCTATTCACTGACTGCCGTTCGGCCCCTGTGTGAATAGGGGTGAACGGAAGCGAGTGAGCGGCCGAGCTTCGACTCAGCCGATTCTCAGATGTTGGATCGGCTGAGTCGAACTCCCTCTGCTCTTCCGCTCAGCCAAACATGCATGACTGAAGGCAGCCGATGTACAAGCTGGAAGTGAATAACCGAACATAGTTTGGCTCACTTCACTTAGGCTGGGTTATTCACTCAGCTGCCTTCGGCAGGTTTGTGAACACCCCCCATAGAATAGTAATTGTGCCTGCTTTTACGTCAATACAAAATAATGTGTCATATTACTATAATGTTGTTCTTACATCACTAGCTGCCTGTCTAGCAGCTTTGGCAGCCTTGATGGAGATAGCATCAATTTTCAGATCATATCCTTTAGTCTTTAGTTCTTCCAGTCCTTGTTTGTAATAATTCTGAAACAAAAGATAGTTAATTCATTAATTTAATTAATTAATTGAATCTGATTACATACCAAGAGTTAAAAAACCAAGTCTGTAAATCTTACATCGCTTAGGTTATAGGCATTAACTCTGGCCTGGATGAATTCGGGAATATCTGCAGGTAAGGAATATTTATGTATGATCTTTTCTCCAGCTGCTTTATACAGGATCTGCAAACAAAAGAGCAAAAATATATGAACTGAAAGAATCCATAGACAACATTGCATTAGCATTCAAGGGCAACACCATGTAGTGGGTAAACACATATTGTATATAGGAATTGTTTCACCTGATGACGTTCTAGAATATAACCTGCATGTTCTGGTGATCCACCCACCCTTTCCATCCCATATGACTCCATGGTACCAAGAAGTTAACAATCTTTATCATAGCCTAGGATTCTGCATACTGAATGCCTTTGCCCTGTCTGTTCTTTGATCTTCTTCCCACCAGGCAGGCTCTTCCACGGTAAACCTGACTTCAACTTTATTCTAAAGTCTAGCAACTCATAAAGACACATTTCAAATAATAAAGACCAAACCATAAAATGATTCCTTGAATTTTGAAATCACCCATACATTAAAAGAGATAATAGCAAACAAGTAATCGAGGAGTTTTTATGGCACACTTACATCACTCCTCTGTTTCTGGTTGAGTTTAGCTTGGACCAGAACAGGATCGTCTTCTATAGAAGTGAACTTAATAGTATCTGGACGTTGTCTGTATTTTCTCTGTGGAAAGAAAGGAATTATTATTACTAAGCAAAATATCAGCAAATGTACCAATCCATATACTGGGTATGAGTAACGGAGAATCAACCAAGAAAGTTATATTTTTCCAAATAGTGAAGTTCCTTTTCAACATAACAACAGGATATCACTGGTAGAGTAATAGTGCTGTACCGCTATAGAAGTGATACTTTACTGACATAGGAAAACCTCCACCATTCCTGGTGTGTAATGACCACTAGGGCCACACTTCAATTAAGCTTTTGTTGAGCTGCCACCATTGGACCACAGATCTATATAGTTATCCAGTTTCATGTATCTTAGATAATATAAATGATTCTTATATAGTGCCTTTTTTATTAAGTGAAATGGTAATTTTGCTGATAAGTATCTTCTGAACACGTACATAATAAATGGGAAGAATAATAAAAGGGGCAATCTTGCTGCCCTTAAACTGATGACCACCAGAGCAGCAAGGGTCCATCATAAATCTCCCATGGTATAAGCATAAAAGTATGAAGTCCCATTGGGCCCAAACAGTTTTCACAGGCCAGGAAATGCTGCTACCCTTGTGCTAGTACTAGGCAATTAGAGCTTTAAGGTCGTTCACAGCAAAGGAGGTCATTCAAATTTTAAGCAACACTGTAAGCAACTGCTGTGGTTATGGCCTGATGACGCTTCTGTTACGCAATGATACAAGACCCGTAACACTGGCAGGAAATGACTGGGTAGACCTTGCTTTGAGAATAAACCTGACCACAGTGGTGTTACTCATTAGCATTGGCTCTGGGAATATAAGGCCTATAATGATGCATGTGTTGGCATACAGACAGGGAAGTATTTACTCTCTCTTCTACCCCAAGGCCAGGTTCCTCAATGCGCCCCCCTACCCGCCAACCCCAACCCGCCCCCCCCTCCATGGAGAATGGGAGACCTCCAGGCTGCATACAATGTTGCCGAGATCACTTGTACAAAACAAGCAGCGGCTTCCCTGCTGCACATTTAGCGCTGCTTGCCCAAAGCAGGGCTAAATGCAGAAAACAACTACCCGCCCGGACATCGGGAGATAGGAATTCCACACCCCTGCTGTCCCTCTACTCCCTGTCGCCCCGAGGGTGGGGGCCTTGGTTGGTCTTGTGGGAAATCTGGCCCCGTATACAGACAATTTGACAGTTTGTGACGGGGAATAGGTCACAGGCTAAGACTGGCTGCCACTGAATATCATTACCTCATTCAGGATCTGTGCACCTTTCTTGGCGTTTTCCACATCCATGGATCCATAAGGCACCCATCCGCAGCCTTTTACCCAATTGTTATAATCTGATCTATAATCAATCTGGGGGAAAAAGAGAACAAATGTACAAAGTAAAAACAAAATAACAAATAATATACTCTCAACCTAAGGGTGTTAAATATTTAATCTAGTCAAATAAATTGACATTAGATGACTGTTACTATAATGGTGTTCATTTTCCAATATTTACTATTTTTGTCACCAAACGAGCATGCTCAGTAGATAATAAAATCTAAGGGGGTTATTCACGAATGAGCCGAAGGATCCAGATGTAGCTTCGGCTGATCCTTCGGCTCACTTTGGCCGTCGGAGCCCTTCAGTTCTGTTGAAGCAAAGGGCTGCTGTATGGGCTATTCACTATAGCCCGTACAGCAGCCATATGCTTCGGCTCGACTGAGCCGAAGTGACAGCCGAAGCATGGAGAAAGGTCGGCCGAAGCCGACTGATCTCCATGCAAATGACAGCTGGGCCGAACCAGCCATGATCTCACGGCTCACTCCGCCCAGTTGTAATGACAGATCAGCGTCCCCAAATGACCTGAGGACGCTGATCTGTCATTAAACAATAACAACTGGGCTCCGCCTGGTTGTTATTTATTGGCTGGGACCTGCTGTGTTTATTCTGCCGACACCTGTCAGGTGCTTCATTATGCGGTGGGAGTCCGTCACGTGCGGTCGGGTAAGCGTGCGTCGTTTTTTTTTCAAATTTTTTTGTTCTTTTCTTTGAAATATTTCTATTTTTTTTTAATTTTCCGGCATACCCGCAGGTGAGCTGCCGGAGCTTCGGCTCAGCCAATCCAGATGTTGGATCGGCTGAGTCAAAGTCCCTCTGCACTTCGGCTCAGCCGTACTGAGCCGGAGTGAATAGCCTTCGGCAGTTAAGTGAATAACTCCCTATGTGTTTGCCACAGTCACTCCAAAGCACAAATATTGAATTCTTGGGTCTTCTGTCTGCTGTCTTATGTCTTTGGCTAGCTTTATATTTTAATTCATCCATGCTTATCATCCATGCCATAATAAGGCACAATAATAAGGCTAAATATCTGTTATCTTTTTAACCTCCAGATGGAATACTTAAGCTGGTCATGCATGTAGAAATTTGATAGAGCAATTGGACTTTAAATTCCATATTTTACTAAAATCACAAAGCAATTTAAAGACATAAAACTGGTGGATTCAATCAATCGCGAGGAGATGGAATCCAAATTACTTCAATCAAATGTGGTAGAAAAAAAAACAGATGGCTTTAAACTAAATTATTGTAGTTTTTTCTATCTAATTTCAACTCAATCTTTAATAAAGTGTTTTTAAAATGTCACACTTGTATGTTGTGGGAATGCGCATTAAACGTGGGTGTTCCCACAATACATGGCAATGCACCTGCTTTAAGTGTGGTGCATTACCATTCTGAATGTGACCCCAAAGCATTGTCCAGAACAGCCCAAATAACAATGCACTGTAGCACATTGTGGTGTGCTGCATTGTTAAAAATGCGTCATGCATATTTTTTCATCCATTGTGGTGCGTTGGCATCATGGGATGCCTCGCACAACGCACATTAAAGTGTGCCTGTGCCATAATGCGCTTTTACACATGTGCATTGACGCACAACAACAGAACGCAACGTAACACTTAACTCAGGAGTTAAATCTTAAAAATGCATTCAAGCTCTCAACTATTAACAAAACTGTACATTATTTGCGCTGTAGACCCTCTAATCATCTCTGAATTGGTGCTGACACTGTCCTTCCTTCTGGAGGGTGGCTACTTTTGTTCCCCGTAGTCCCTATGTGTGTTGTAGCCACTGCTCAAATTCGCTCCCGTGATGGACTACAATCTCATGTTTAGTTTACTAATTTGTATTAAGATTGTAGTCCATCATAGGAGTGAGCTTGTAGCGGTGACTACTTTACAACACACACAAGGACCTTGGGGAACAAAACTACTGTAGACCCCTTCCAGAAGGAAGGACAGTGTCAGCACCAATTCAGAGATGATTTGAGGATCTTCAGTTGAGTGATGCATAAATAAGTTTCCTTTTTGTTAATAGTTAGGGTACTTGAATGCATTTTTAAGATTTAACTCCTGACATTAGTCGAGTGTTAATGGGCACCCAATGTATTGACCAGTCCCAACTTCACAATTCAACCTAAATATTGAAACCCATGAATTAGATTAGCTCAGATTCTTGCAATTTTATGTGGGATCATAAGTGTGATTCATGGTGGGTCAGAAGTGGTGGAAACTGGCACACGTATAGCCAGCTTCAGAGGTTGAAAAAGAAAAATAGCATCTCCAGGTACATATTGGTAAACACTCCATCTGTAACTTTACATTCTCCTTCCTAGAACCCACCGCAAACAGATTAAAGTTTTTCCATTCAATTAAGAGGTATAAATAGTAAGATTACTTACATCACTCTGGATAGTATAGGACTTCTTAGCCAATTGCAAGTTAATGCTATCTGGAGGGTATAAGTAACTGTGAAGGAGGTGCTTATAATCAATATTGCTGGCAATAGCCTGGGATTTCTTAGCTAACTTCACTGTAATCATATCCAAGGGTGCAGAATATTTGGTCTTTCCCATCTCATAGTCCTTCTTGTATTCAATCTAAAAGACACACACAAAAAAACAAATGACTTAAAGAAAATCATTTTCAGGGCAATCCTTGGGGCAAAACATATAGGCCAAACATGATGAAGGCAGTCTACCAATAAAATAGGATTGAAAGGTATCATTATAGTCTGGGTCACTTTGTACCTAGAGCCACAGTATTATAACTTCTTATTTGCCTGATGGACTAATGTCTTTATTCAACCTCAAATACTATGTAACTATGTAACTATGTAACTATATATTGGAGGCTGTGTTCCTTAAATGTACCACAGAGTCCATCAAACGCCTTGTGCAAAGTTGTCTGTTGCACTTTTAAAAGCCCTAACCATAAAATGTCAAAGTGTATGTAAAGACAAACTTTTTTTTTAGTTTAGGATAGAGTGGCTAATGGCTAGACCCATGTTTAGTTTGTATTAATGTCTGTGTCCCAACTGGGGAGATTCGCCCCTCTGTTTGTCCTGGTGACCATCGTCACCAAGATAGAAAGTGAGGGGAAATCCAAAACGTTTGAGTTTTCATCAAAGCAAGAGGCTTTGAACAAATGTTTCTATGAAGGAAGGCATTTCTAAAAAGGAATTCTATTCACTTAGGAAAGATTTCATCTCATTTCATGTTGCTTCCATAGGACAGGAAGTGAAGAAAATCTCACCAGCAGGGCAGAGACAGCAAAAAATGCCTTAATAGGCATTTAAACCTTCACTAGCCATCTAAATAATAAAGAAAAATGTTTTGACTATACATACACTTTAAGAGTCAAGAGACAACTGTATATTTAATGTATTTATTTTCTATATTTCTTTTCCAGATTATGTTACTTAACATGTGGTGGTTTCCTGTTTGGGCATCTTTCTTTCTTTCTTTCTTTCTTTCTTTCTTTCTTTCTTTCTTTCTTTCTTTCTTTCTTTCTTTCTTTCTTTCTTTCTAATAGTTTTCGTGTGTTAGTGACAGCTGCCAGTATTCTATTTCACTGTAAGAACTATCCAACATCCCATTTTTATGGCTGAGGTATTTTTAGGTTTCGCTTCCTTCTGAGGTCTGCAAATGCTCTTCACACCTCTTCTTTAGGGAGGTTGTGCTATTTTAAAATGAATGGATTTTAAAAATAGTATTGTTTGCAGCTTAAAGTGACACTAAACGCAGAAGTTAAACCTTAAAAACTCATTCAAGTACCTTAACTAATAACAATAATGTATCACTCGGCTGTAGATCCTGAAATCATCTCTGAATTGGTGCTGACACTGGCCTTCCTTCTGGAGGGTGACTACTTTTGTTCCCCACGGTTCCTGTGTGTGTTGTAACGTAGTTACTGCTCCAAGCTCACTCCCGTGATAGACTACAATCTCATGTTTATTTTGCTAATTTGTATTGAGATTGTAGTCCATCACGGTAGTGAGCTTGGAGTGGTGGCTACTTTACAACACACACAGGGACCATGGGGAACAAAAGTAGCCACCCTCCAGAAGGAAGGACAGTGTCAGCACCAATTCAGAGATGATTTGAGGATCTACAGCAGATTGATACATTATTGTTATTAGTTAAGGTACTTGAATGTGTTTTTAAGGTTTAACTCCTGAGTTTGGTGTCACTTTGACTTAAAGTGTATGTAAACCTTAACATGAACTTGTCTTATTTGCTCCCTTTATAATTGTTTTAATACAATTGGAAGCATTTTATTATATCTGTTCAATAGGTTCTAAAAACATGCCGATCGTGTCAGACATTCAGAGCTGTCCTGTGTCCTCTGCACACTTCCTGTGTTATCTTAAGCCCTCCTAGTTTTTATTTTGGACTACGGAATTAATCCCCCCTTATGTTGTTGAGTTATCTTGGACTACGGAATGAACCGCCCCTTATGTTGTTGAGTGGTAGTGGTTGAGAAGTTTAGCCAAAGAGACTGGGCAGGGCTGACACTACTCAGTCCACAAAAACACTGTGTGTTGTCAGAGCTAAATGCATTTCTTGTTCAACAGGTATTTTTGTGTACTTGTAGGGTCCATAAAGTGATAAAACATGGGGAAATGTGTATGTACTGCAGATGTTTTTGCTTTGACATACACTTTAACTACAACTTATTGTGCCTTGGCATGCATTTTTACTGCAAGTGCTTCAAAGGAAATAACATTTTCAGTTATCTACAAGAGGAAGTTAAAATATTGTAGTTATCTAGAGGGAGTTATTCATAACTATATTTGTATACAGTACTGATATTTAACTACACCATGGCAGGTCTACCAGATAGACAACATTTACAAAACATCATCTCCAACAAACTCTATACTGGGAGGCATGATGCCTGATATTCTGTAAAACAGGTTTTGGGTTACATCCACTTTAAATGATATTTGGCAGGCTGAAGTGCTTATCCCCTCTAGTTTAATACTTCCTGCACCAGCCAACTGTAAAAGGTATGCAGGTAAGTAAAGGCAGCAGTCCTTATATAAGAGGGTGAACATGGCAGGCAGGCAACTAGCATTTTTTTGAATAAAAAGTCAGCAATGGCAGACTCCTTTGAAAAGGATGGGCGCCCCGGAAGTCGTTCACCATGCACGTGCACGATGATGTCATCGTGCATGCGTGGCCATCTTGGTGATGAACGCAGGCAGAAAGAGGAGGGGACGTTCATCCCATATGCCGCCGGATCCCCTCCTCTCTGCTGCAACTGTTTAGCAAGAAACATGAAACTGTTCCCCAATCAAACACAGGCAGATTCGCTCATCCTTACTTCTAACCCTTCCCTACTCTACACAAAACTGATCAAAAAAAACTTTAACTGGAGCTGTGGTTTAAAGCAGAACTCTAGGGGACTATTTTCTTAACTTTTGTAGTGGGGCTACACCTACACTGCAAAGGTTAAGTGCTCATTTTTTTCTATGTTCAAAAATAACAAATATCCTTGGAACTGGCTTGCTTTTACACCAGTCCCTTCCACATGTCTCCTTCTCCGCTGCAGCGATACTATGTCCCTTGGTGTTCTAACATCCTATACCCGGTGTATAGAACATAATGACTCATGGGAACTTAGGCCTCTGCAGCAGAGGGGGAGCGAGGCAGAAGGGACTGGTGGAGCAAGCTGGCTCCAAGGATTGGATTATTTTTTAACCTAGAAAAAAAACAAGCACTTGACCCTTGCAGTGCGGGGGGAGCCCCACTGCAAGGGTTAAGAAACTGTTCCCCCAGAGTTCTGCTTTAGGTGTGCATTGAAAATTGTTCTGTTCTAAAAATCAAATGTTATTCTCTAACTATCCTCTGTCACTTATCACCTCTCAGGCCCTCCTCTGTTGTGGCTCCTGGCTAACAACTACCAACATCTAAAATGATATTATTTCTTCTGCTAGATTGTGGCAATCAACAAAACGTATGAATAATAATGATAGTACATAGTACATATTTAACCATAATAATACCATATACTTACGTCGCTCTGGTTATGAGCCACTTTCTTAGAATGCAGCATTTTGGGGTCATCGTGAATGCTAAGTGCTCCAATCATCTTTCCTCTGTTACGTTCATAGTCTTTTTTGTATTCCACCTGCGGAGACAGAAGCCACATTGTGATTGGATGCCATAATTCAAAATGACAATTACAGTGCCAAGATCACGGTAAACAGGAAAATGGAGTGAATTGAAAATGCGGCAGCTATAATTTGTACAATCTGTACCTTTGAATAGTTTTGGTCTTGTACATTCGAGTGTAGCATTTACAAATATTTAAACAAGGTTTGTACAATCAGCCGCACAGAAACCGGTGTCCAGCAAAATCCGACTTTATTGTGTTATTGCAAATTACATCTCTCTCACACAAACGCCTCTCATGCGTTTCACCACCTGACCGCTATGATTAAGCCCAGGTGGTGAAATGCGTGAGAGGCGTTGGTGTGGGAGAGATGTCATGGTGATGTATTTGCTGTAACACGCTTGATTTTGGATTTTATCTGGACTGTTACCAGAATAAAGTTGGATTTTTATGGACAGCGGCTTCTGTGCGGCTGATTGTACAAGAATTGCCAAAGGAGTGGGAGCCCACTGTAGCCTGCACCCGCTGCATACATTTGACTGAAAGACAGGAATTGGAGCAGTGAATTCTTGGTGCTTTTTGGATATTTTTTAAACAAGGTTTATCACAATGGGTCAATGAGATGTGTTGACACAAAGAATGGAGTGTTTTAACGCAGCGTGGCTCAATATGTACATTAATGCAATGCATAGTGTGACTGGGTGCTGAGCCAAAAATAAAAGTTAGTAAATAAAGAGGAAATTGTATCAACATACATTCTCGCCACAGTAAAAAAGATAATGAATTTCTACTTACATCGCTAGCCTTCTTTCTGTTTGCTTTTGCTGCGACCAGGGGAATTGCATCAATCTTAATTTCAAATTTCTTTGCTTTTGATCTGTCCCAGTCATATTTGTAACAGTTCTGTAACATAAAATAAAACCAAGGTAAGTGTTTTTTGTCTGTCTGTGTCTATCGTGCCCTCTGTCTGCATATCTATCTATCTATCTATCTATCTATTTCTGTCTGTGTTGATGTTGCAGAGTTCTCTTCACTTCCTGTCTGGTAAAATGTTATCAGCAGGACAGGAAGTAAGAATCTCTCTGATGGAGCCCCAGATAGCAGTAAAAACCCTGGCAGCGGTTTTAACCCATCACGAAACTCGAAAACTGTGAAATGTAAAACAATAGTCAATGTCCTTTATCAGCACATCAAAAAAAAATTTAAATAAAATATAACAAATAATCTGATTCATAAATGGAATTATGTAAAAATATTCCACATTAGCTCATATGTGGCATCTTCCTGTTAAATCCATCTATTTGTCTATCCATCTGTCTAGCTTGTCTATCATGTTAAACCATTGCCTTGTGTCAGCTGCCAGATACATTTCAAAGGTTATCGTTGGCATTTTAAAACTTCAGAATGTGGGATTCTTCTGTATCCTCCATCCCTGAGTACAGAGTCTGATATAGACCCGAGAATGTGTGCTGTCATCATAATCACAAGGCAGGAACAGGAGAGAGAGACTACAGTGAAGGAAGGACAGTGTCAGCACCTACTCAGAGATGATTTGAGGATCTACAGCCGAGTGATACATACATACGGCACTTGAATGCCGAGGCCGGGTGTCACCCGGAGCGGGTACGAGGGGACACCCCGCCATGATGTCATCACGTTCGTGCGCAATGACGTCATCGCACATGTGCGGCCATCTTGGTGATGGACGCCGGCCGAGAGAGGAGGGGACGTTCACCCGGAGGGATATGGTATGCCGCCGAGTTCCCTCTCCTCTCCTGCAACTGTTGGGCTCTTGGTCCAAGACCGAGTGCCCGACATTTCAAAGCGGGTGACACCAAAATGACTGCCAGTCATTTTGGTGTCACCCCTCCAATGGTGTCACCCGGGTGTGGGCTGCACCCCCCACACCCCTCTTGTGACGCCACTGCTTGAATGTATTTTTAACTCCGGAGTTTAGTGTCACTTTAACTTAGCAGAGAATATCCAATCATATCAAGGAAAAGTCATCCAGTCAAGGAAAATGTAAAACAATCTGAGATTTTGCTTGCACTTGATTGAATGATTGAAATCAGCACAACTTCACCCATGGGGCATAACTAGAAATCACAGGGCCCCATAGCAAAATTTTGTATGAGGCCTTATGATTTCTAGTTAAGTTACACCCACCTGATATCCCAAACAGCCCACCTGAGAGTGACCCTGCAGAGCCCACCATAGACTATCTATGGTGCGCTTTGCAGGGGCTCAGGTGGACTGGTCAAACCCTCTTAACTGTCAGCCCAGATCTGCTGTCTGCCTCCTCCTCCACAGTCACTGCTGGACTATGCCTCCTCCATCACCAGGCTCCGCCTTCTCCATCGTCGGGCCCCGCCTCCTCCTCTGCAGTTGCTGGCTGTCACTGACTTAGCAGCGGCTGTGAGGAGGAGACTGGGCCCACTGGCAGGTTGTTAGTGATCTGAACAGCGGTGTGTTCCTCCTCACAGCCACCAGTTACAGCCAGCAGCCTGAGATGCCATAGTGACCCAGGCGACCCGCAGAGCATCAGGGGGATGTCCTGGCCGAGCCCCCCTGCGCCCCGGGTCCCAAAGCGGCCGCCTGGGTTGCTATGTCGATTGTTCCTCCACTGACTTCACCTCATTCACTAAGCTAACTGAATTTTCTCTTAGAAAATGACATCCTCATTTAGCTTAGTGAATGAAGTGAAGTTGTGTTGTTTTTTATTTCCCAAGATAGGCTTTAAATCATCCAATCATATGTGAGCAACAATCCTGTTTTTTAATAATTTTCCTTGACCATGATTGGATGTTCTTTGCAAAGTAAACTCTACAGCTTTAGTAAATCAAGATCTGTTAAGGCTAATTTCTCCAATGGAAACACAGACAGCAAAGGAAACTGTGTGAAAATCTAACCCTTCCTCACTCTGCCCAAAACAAAGCGTTTGGGAATTATTTAAGCTTTAATGTAAAAAATTCATCAAATATATGTGATAATGTTCTTACAAAAACTTGTTTCTGCTTTTTTAATAACACGAACATGTCTTTTTCATGTTTCCTATTGGAAATGTTATTCTTTCTCCCTTTCACACAATTTATACAAATAACACATTAGATTCTGGATGGTTAAATCCCAACTATTTGCAGAAAGATAGAAGTAAGAAGGTAATTACTTACATCACTGAGATTATATGCGTTTAATCTAGATTGAAGTATAAATGGAGAATCTTCTGGAATAGAACACTTGAATTTCTCCTTTTCATGCTTTGCTTTATAATTCAGCTAAAAAAAAAAAGAAAATCATTTGAGATTTATTGGTTAATAAAGTTCAATCAGAGATAGATGGTGAAAAGGGGCCCTAGTAAGGTAACAGCGTTGCCCCAATCCCCCCACCCCTTCGACTTTTACTTATATGGACAGTAATAGGTACAGGGAAGATGGCCATTTTCATTGCATGTACTGACATGGTCCATTACTTCAGACACCTACTGCCTACAAGTGTATCCTCCTTTATGCAGTAACAGTGACCAACTTTGACCAATTGTGCTATGCACCTGGTTTGTTGCATGAACATAACGGTTTTGACAGGGCCCCTTGACAGCCTCCGGGTCCTAGGCTCTTGCCTAGGTTGCCTTGTGGATGATCCGGCTCCGAGTTCAATACGTCAACATCTCCAGTCAGAACCATGCTTGATTAAGCAACCAATGGTTGGAACTATCTCCATAGCAGCCAATGTGGCTGCTATGGGGCCTGGGGCAGAAGCGGGCCCAGTCAGGAGCATGATCTCTTGTACTAGCCTGGTACTGTGCTGCCTTCCCCCCTGCATCCCGCCATGATTTTCATCCTCTGGGGGCCCCAGGACCACGGCAAATAGTGTAAGGATGGAGAGCGGAACCAGACCGTGGAACGTCCATTCCTCAATCTGCTCTGTCATTGGTGAAGCAGGGAGCCAATACTGGCTGTAAAGTGAATTCCAGAGTGATATAATGAACCACCTTTTAATCAATGTAAAATCCTCAGAACTTACTATTATATGATGGAGTTAGTTTAATAAGAGTAGGTTAGAATTACAGACACGCACTAAATGTAAATGTGCAATACATTTTTCCTTATTTTATTTCTTTTTACTTGGGTATTTGGGAGGTTACGAATATAGTGAGAGCAGCCAGAAGGCTTTTTTTTTAACTCTTCTTTCTCTTGTTTGATACTTTTTAGTTTTGCTTTCTAAAAACATCACAGGGTTGGAACAACCAGCTGCAGATGCCAGATTACACAACATAAGCAATATTCCCAAATCATTTAACCCTTTCAAGTCCACTATCCCTTTCCAGTCAACTTGGAGCCCTGATGAAGGGGGGGGGGGGTTCCTTAAATCCCCAAAATGTGCTGGATTAAACATTTTCCGGACTCCTGATGATCAGTGTATTATTTTTGTTTTTCTTTTATATATCCTGGGTCCCATTTGAAGAGCCATAGGGCCGGTGCACACCTAGGCGACACCACACCGCGCGGTCAGGAGTCGTCTAGGTGTGCACCGATTGCGCTGTGGGTGCCATTATTTTCTACTGGCACCCCAGTCGCACCGGACGGATCGCACGGTTTCCCGCCGCGATTCCGCCCCTGGCTAAAACAGCCGCACGTCGTGTATCGCAGAAAAAAAGTTACTTGTACCTTTTTTCTGCGATTGCCATGGAGTGACACGCAGATGTCATTCCATTGAAATCAATGGGGCCGCACCGCAATCGCTGCCTGCATTGTGCAGGACTGCGCCATTCTGGGACGCGCAATCCCGGATCGCATAGGTCTACACCGGGCTTTAGTTGAGGCCCTTCAGTGCAAGAGATGTCTAACTAGCGTCTGTATATCAGACTTTTTACAATAAGTATAAAACTACCTCTTGATCCTACCTACACCTCAGGGCAGCCTACAATAAATAGGGCCCTAAACTCAAAGTAGCATATTTAAATTGCCATTTCTGCAGAGAATCTTTAAGCAACATGAACACACAAAGGCGTATGTAACGGGGGACCATGTAAATACTCACGTCGCTAAGATGCTTGGTATTGGCTTCTGCTTGAAGCTGTACTGGAGAATCTGTTACTTGAGTGAATTTAAATGTGTCGGGATGTTTCTTATAGATGTGCTGAAAGAAAAGAGTAAAGATTCTGTCATCCACAAGCTGAAAAGTCTTGGAGCGGGATTTCATAAAATGTGCAAAATCAAAGTCAGAATTCTCTATGTTGTAAAACAGGCAATTCTACAAAAGTTATCTACATTGTTTAGAGTCATAGTAACCTCTTGCTGACAGTCCCCTTAGATTATTTATTCATTAGAGGTATTTATATGGTGCTGACAATTTACTCAGCCCTTTCCGTAGTACACTCACATCAGTCCCTGGCCTCAAGGAACTTATAATCTAAGGTCCCTATTGCACACCACGAATACAGGGCCGATTTAGGGAGGAACCATTTAACCTTCCAGCATGTCTTTGGAGTGTCGGAAGAAACCAGGGTACCCGGAGGAAACCCACGCAAGCACAGGGAGAACTTGCTTAAAGCAAGTGAAGAACCAATTCAGATCTCTTACATTGCTAATGTCTTTTTTTCGTTTTTTTTATTGGCACAAAGAACTTGAGGCAAAAACTGTTTTGCTGTGTAACAACTAATTAAAATGTATGCCACCTTCAGGATCACTGCCATTTGTGTAATATTTAGTTTCACTATTGCCAGATAGTTTAGCTCTTGCTTTACTTCTGTGACAGGTGAGCTGGGATAGGTGAGCTGGGGGCTCTCATACGCAGAAGCCACACTGTTTGCTCCTCCTTTCCACTTGTTTATTCACAGAACACTTTGTATTTTCTGAAATTCACAAAATATTACATATCTCCCCTTCTCTCCAATCCAGACACAGGCAATGACCGAGTCTCTAGCTATGCCACCACTGGCTGGGCACCTCAGAACTTTGGAGGCAAGAGGTCTGTGTGCGGGATGGATACATCTTTCTTTGACAACGTTCCTAAAATATTCATGCAGAGATGTCACAAGGTAAAGGTATCCATAATTATTGCCACCCAAGACTGCTAAAATCTCCTGAAATGGACTAGGGTAATCTCATTTTATGGAAACAATCAAATGAAAATTCACCATTTTGTTTTTTTCATTTTGCATAAAATAAGCGTTAGAACCTTTGTCAGAATTTTTTGTGTCCTGTTTTGTGGAGATTCCCCATACTTCCTGTAGTTCTGGTATGACACAGGGCACGCAACTAAAACATTTGGCTATGCTCCAGTTTTATGTTCCCATGTTCCCATTCCTATCTCAGCCAATTTCCCTATTGCATTCTCCATAAAGTAACATTAAATACAAAATCTGAAAGAGAAAATGGAACTCCCCATAGTGGGCATAGGAGTATCAACCAAAAACTGCATACTTACATCTTTACATTGATCTAGTTTCTTAGTAGCTTCATATGCTTGGGTAATAGTCTGTGGGAAGTAACAATTGGTTTTTTCCTCTTCATAGTCAGCTTTATAGTTTTTCTAAAAGGGAAATGAAAAATGGTTATTAGTATGATGTGTGATATGATGTTCTGAAATACATATACAGTGGATGTTCTTCAACACAAGTAGGTAGATTTTACTTACCTCGCTTACTAAAGAATTGACCTTGGCGCAGTGACGCATATACGGGTTCTCATAGCTACCTATATAATGTCCAAGAACTTTCCTGTTATAGTGATCTTTGTATTTAAGCTGTAGGATGAAACAAGGTGTAAAAGGAGTTAAAAGTAATAACACAAATCATTAAAAGTGGCATTCACTCTATAGAACACATTGACCCTGATTTACTAAAGGAGAAGAGCATGTTCACTTTCATGATTCATACCCAATCATGTGCAAGCAAATAAAAAACTAGGATTTTTGCTTACACATGATGGGATAATTGAAATAAGAAAAAACTTTTATTCACTAAGCTAATTCATTTAGCAAAAAAAGCTTAGTGAATAAGATGAAGTTGTACTAACTTCAATCATCCAATCACAAACAAGCAAATATCCTGTATTTTTCCTTTTGCTTGCATATGATTGGATTTACTTTGCAAAGAAAATCTTCACTTTGTTTTACCTCATTCATCATGAAAGTAAACTGAGACCATCAAAGTGAACATGCTCTACTCCTCCACTCTACCCGTTTATTAAATCCCGGGCATTATATGTGGTCACCACATGAGAATCTGATCTTATTATTTATCATTGTAAGGAGTCTGTTTCAGATTCTAAAAAACTGAGAATAGACATTTGAATCTGGCTGAATTGTATTTACATGGTTGTTTATATACAGACTATAATAAATAGGACCAATCTCAGCAAATCCCTATTTTTCTAAATTAAAGTGTTGGCAATGATGCGTCGAATGCCTTGGGGGCTTTGCAGGTAGGCCATGATTGACGACCTCCCTAGGGAGTGTGGCTTACGGAAATGTGGGTACTGCTTGATGGTACTGTAAAGGTGAATGCTTATAGGTGACGATATATTCATTGTGTTATGTGGATTGTGCATATTCTTTATGGTTTGTCATGGATGTGATTAAATACTGCACTGCATACCTATTCTTCTGAAGTGATGACGCATGTTTTACTATTGTAAAAATTGCTGAAACTTTAATAAAACATTTTTGGAAAAAAAAAACATTTGAAGTGGTGGTCATTTTGCCACCCCATGCTTTAGCTGTGCGGTTGATTCCCGAAGGACTAACAAGTTACTTTAACTATAGTTCATTATTTCATGAAATGCTCTTGTTATCAGACTATGAAAATCATTTTAATCTTAGTAGTTCATAAGGTTGTATTTTCTGAAATCTTGATCCAGCCTCCAAAATTTTTATTGATGATGTTTCTATATGGTGTTCATTAGTGCAAAATGTAAAAAAAAAAATGTGTTATAAATGTAATTTAAATTCCTATATGCTTTTGCTAATAAAAGCAGAGGCGCTTCTTCACCTCAACGGCTCAGGTATAATGATCGTGATAGAGTGTAGTCTGAAATCCTCTCACTAGGGTCTTAAGATATACTTTGGCAATGTTGCATTGCATTCAGGCCTTCTGAATTTTTTCAAGGGTGCTATGACTGAAAAAAGGTTGAGAAACACTGATTTAAAGAAACATCTTCTGACCACATTCTCATCTATAGGCCCTGTTAAACCTCATGCCATTTGTCCATCCCCTTCAGGCATTCTCCTCTTCACTCTTCCCCTTCTACCTATATGATACCAAATTTGGATCCTGAAGTCCCCATGTTCCTTAGTAGTATTATATTGTCCAAGTACTCCAATCATTATTTCCTAGACTCCGGTTCATCAGAAACTTTGGGCAATACTCACATCACTGAAGTTCTTCAGGACATTATCAATCTGAAACTTAGGGGTGTCGCAGTAATTAATACTGGATCCTTTGGCTTTTTCATAAGATTCCTTGTACAATATCTGAAAAGGAAAGAAGAAAAAAAAGAGATGAGATTGCAATATGTCACAATAGCTATGTATCAGGCCTGTGTTGAGAAGTATTATAAGATTCATGCCACCTAAAAACAGATGTATTGTGCACATAATGATAGAAGTAACAATCCATCAGCGTCTTTAATTTCTTAGTGGTCTATTCACAAAGCTGCCGAAGGATCTAGACGTAGCTTCAGCTGATCCTTTGTCTAGCTTCGGCCCCAGGACCCCTTCGGTTCTGTAGAACCGAAGGGCTGCTGCAAGGGCTATTCACTATAGCCTGTACAGCTCCCGAAGTTGGCCGAGCGGCTCAGTCGAGCCGAAGGCATTTGCCTCGGCTCGACTGAGCCGCGCTGAAAGGCGAAGCTGGCCGAATGGCCGGCCATTGGCCGGCCGACAGCCTGCTTCTGACAGCTGGGCGGAGCCAGCCATCATCTCACGGCTGGCTCCAGCCACTTGCAGAGAGATCATCAGATTTTTTTTTCCTTTATAGGATCATCAGAAAAGTTTATTCACCAGTCTAATAGTCTGTAGGTGTTTCTGTAGGCCTAGAACTTACATCACTCAGTGCATTGCCAGCTTTTCTGAGTTGCCGCAGTAAGGGGTTTTCTGTGGCAGGAAGAGTATGGTAAGATGTGGGTCCCTTGGACTTCTCATAATCTTCTTTATATTTCAACTGTAAATATAAAAAAAAAATAGATTTAAAACTGCTAAGATATAAAAATGAATGTAATTGATTTTTTTGTTTTTATTGCAGAAAAACATCCTAGCTTTCCCATACCGTGCTAGCGTTCAGTCTTGCCTTCTTGTTAACTTTGTATTCTGGGGTTTCTGTCTGCATGAAGTAGATTTGGTCTTTAGCGTTCTCAAAGTCTGCTTGATATTTTATCTGTTGGAAGAAGGAAATGAGTCAGAACCAATTCACGTTCTGTACACTGAGCTGACATTTCAATATGGCCTCAAAGGTACTAAAGAACACATGCCCTGCAGGGCATGCTGGGAAATAACAGTTCTACAGAGGCTGGAAAACACAAGGTTACTATCTTCTGCAGCAATGTCTTTTAGTACTCACGCTACTCAGGTTATCGGAATTCATTCTGGCGACTGCAATTTCGTAACACGGGGTCTGGCTCCATTTGCCTTTTACTTTCTTCTGATAATCCTCACGGTATTTAATCTGTGTTAGAAAACATGTCAGGATTTAAATGTAAAAAAAAAAAAGGAAGGCTGAGATAAAAGAAAGGAAGAAGAAAGGCAGAAAGGAAAGGTGGAGGGAAGGAACATGAAAGAGATGGAATCAAATAGACTATAAAAGGCGGTAGGAGGGAATATAAATTGAATTTACATCGCTCAGCTGTTGAGACACTTTCTTGGCCATCGCAATGTCAGGTCGGTCAGCCAGCTGTGTGAACTGCAGCATCTGTTGATTGTGTCCTTTCTTATAATTAATCTGTGTGGAAAACAAGTTAAGGTTAATGACATGCAAAAGGTGGTATAAAACAGCAAGTTGTTGAATCTCATCTCAGCCAAAACTTACTTTCTTTTGGGTAGAGCAGAGAAGGGTTGGAATCTGTCAGGTTTTTATCGCCGTTGGTGTCCTTATTGGGGAGATTTCACCTCACTTCTGGAAAGCACAGGAAGTGATGGGAAATCCCTCCAAAGGGGACACCGAAAGCAAATCTTAAGCAGCATGAGGGAAAGTTATAATTTTTGATAATGTTTCTATTGTGTTTTGTGCTTTCCTGCCTCACTGTGACAAAAAATGAAAACAATCTCCCCAGTGGGCTTACGGACAAAAAAAAAAAGCCTTGCAGAATTTGTACAATTATTACAATGCATATTTACATAGAAAAGGTCTTATGTGTCACAATTCTAGAAACATATTAATGTGATACATGAATTTTTTAAGTATACGTACATCACTGAGCGCTTTCTGTGCCTTAGCAACTCTCCTTAGTTCTGGACTATCAGAGTAAGGAAAATACGTTGTTTTATCTTCATCCCAATCTGCTGTGTATTGTTTCTATTGGAAAAAGAAACATGAATAAGAAAAGGTAGATTAAATAAAGGTCAAAACACAAGTGAGACAAAAAAGGCAACAGACTAGGGTACAGGACATCTGTGATAGCGTCCTGCCAGGAGTCAGGTACCCACAGGTTACCCACATTACAGAGTGGATGGTACAAGAACGTTAAATCAGACATCATGTTATTTGGCTGTATAGGACTGCTATGAGCCATTTCAGGATTGGGGCTTTGTTCTTGTTTATATAAAAGTTCATGTTAAAGCACAACTCCAGCCAAAACTGTTTTCGCTTAATTTCTAGCATATCAAGGAAGGATTACAAATGTTGTCAGTTTTAAATGTTGCCTGTTTGCCATTTTTCATTTTTTTTTCTAAGGGCCTATTCAGTATTGTGCTTTGCAGTAATGCACGCCAAAACGCAGTAACTTACTTACTATGGTGCAGTGCCATTCATTGTGAATGAGTTGCATGGAGATGCTGGTAATAGTGGGCAGTGTTCCAATACTGATTGCTGAAGGACTGGAATGTGGACAGAAGTCAAATGTGGTGCTATACATTTACCAGGGTACATGTTTATTGAGAAATTCCCCTTAAAGCATGTTATTACATGACAACGGCCTCTCAGTCTCTTGTTAAATAGCAGCAACTTCTATCTTAAAATCAGTTTCCAATAGTCTTTTGTGGCAGTAGTCCCTAACAAAACAATGTCTTGCAACATGCATGTATCACTAACATAGTGTCTTGTGCCGTGCATCAGTCTCTCTCTTGTATGCTGCAGTTTCTTGTATTGCAGCATCAGTAAAAAGTAACTTTTCAAGTAGTGTTGTGGGTAAAGACACTGAGTGCTGGGTTGGGTTGCAGTATCAAGTATGAAATTGCCTTGTCTTGCTTTGGACACAACAGCCAGTGCAGCCCTAACACATTTGGTATGAATGAACCCTTAAGTGCAAGACTGCAGTTGGTGGATATGTGTTGTTTGCAGGTCTACAGATACAACATGGCAAGACTCTTATTGTTGGAAATGCAACAGCGTATTCTAATGTTCTGTAATTTGTCTTTTAAAGCTCGTCTCTATGTGCATGCTTATCTATGATGCACAGGACGTTCTATGTTTTCTTCACAATGCTGTATTCTGATATAATGTTCTTCTAAGAAAGTAAAACTTAATTCAGCATTCCTCAAGATCTCAGTGCCTAATCTAAACACATAACCAACACTTATGTGGGCCATTACCTCACTTTTTTGTATATATTTATAATTTTTCCCTTTCTATTAGTTTTTTACAAAAAAAAACTTACACATTAAAATGTATGTCTGCATTCCATATTAAATAATATTGCTGATTATGTTGTTCTTTTCTGTCTGATGTAACAAGGGATGTGCTCAACATATTCCAAAGACTGTGAGCAGATACAATGAAAATCCCAAAAAAGAATTCACTGTAGTTCTCTGCTTAGCCATAGGCTTATTGTATAAATAGTATGCCCATGTAAACAGGCATTGAAAAAAAAAGAGAAACTTTTGATGTGTTTTTATCACAAAGTCAAGGTTCCTCTCCTGTTTATTTCTGTTTACCTGTGCATACTGTTTATTCAATATATCTACGGTTGAGCAGAGAACTATGCAAACTTATTCCTTTGGATTTTCATTGTGCATGTCGGCAGCAGGCAAGGTCCCCAATGCCTTGGGGTAAGCAGAGCTAGCTCCCTTTCGGCAGCAAGAATTTGACTGTGAGCAGAGTCAAAAATTGACAGACTACCTTGTGGATAAGGAAGGTGAAATATGAGCTGAGAGAACTGAACTGCTAGGATACTTTCATGATCAACTAACAATGCTCTATGGCAGCCTACAGTAGCTAAAGAGCAACACCGTCCAAAGGTAGTGGAGGTGCAGGATTGACTTCCAGAACTTGACAGTCAGACCCTGTCCCCATTTTAATGGCTTTGACAGGCATGTGATTACCCTTATACTGTTGAAAATTAGATTAAAATTATGTAACTAGAGAATTGAAGGGAGTTTTTTTTACCTTGCTGAACATTGCAGTATTCTTCACAGCCTGCACCAGCTCAGGTGCATCAGGGGGTAACAGGTACTTTTCCTTAATGTCCTCCCAATTCTGCTTGTACAGAATCTAAAACAGCAGAGTATTCAAGTCAGCCATGAATTACTTCTGACAGCAGACAGAGCGTACCTGGGTACACCAAGCTCACTTACCTTGCTCACTTGCTGAGACACTTTTTTGGCGTGCTCAATGTCTCTGGCTTTTCCGTCTACATGACAGTTGGTTTTGGAGACATTGCCATCCATACGATACTTCACCTATATGAGAATAACATCCTAAGAACAACATACCCTTATATACATAAAACATATATCATAGTTCAGGTGGAAGGCAGTAGAGTGTATGCTCCTGCCAGATCATGGGAACTTCTCATTCATCAATGTTTTACTTTCCGGAATATGTCTTTGTAGATCTGCCTATTTTAAGCAAAATCATACAAAGAGATCCAAGCAATCATTGTTTATGAATTGTATAATTCTCTGAATATGAAATCTGATTGCTGGGAATGTGACCCATCCACTACCCTTAATAACCCCTTCCAACGAATTACTGGGTTGAAAAAAGAAATATCTAAGATCTCTTGTTTACTTATCTAAAATCTATGACCATGTGACACACTGGGTTCCAAATCTTCAACCTTCTTCTCTGCAGAATGGGAGGGCCCTTTTATCTCATTAGCAGTAGCCTGATTTTGTTATGCTGCAAATGACATGACTACCAACAAGTAGTTCAAACACTTTGCAGCACAGAGATTACATTTCCCATGTGGCCCTACCAATAACCTACAGTATTTCCTAAATGTAACCCTCTGACTTTCATTCACTGCTGGCCTGTTCTACATCTGTTACTTTGTTAAAGTATTTTTGTTTCTGGTCAACTAGCATATTCAGAAAGAGTCCAGCAATGGTAACCACCATATATTTCTCATGGCAGGTTTACTTTTTCTGCTTAAAATAACATTTTAGCCAAATACTTTTCTTATTTAGTTTGGACAGGGATGGGAAGATGTACAACCTCTGTTGGGTTTTAATTGCTGTCTGCTTCACTGTTTGAGAGATTTCCACTCATTTCCTGTCTTGGTGTTTTTTTGCCACAGGGACAGGCTACAATGAGAAATACCTTCAAAGGGGACAGCAGCAGAAAGTGCAATGGTTAAAAACTTATTTTGCTTTTAATAAAAAAAGGATTTGACTGGAGTTCCAGCAGTGGTGCGTCTAGGGTCTCCGCATCTGATACGAGGGTGAATGTATTGCATGCCAGTGGTTGCTTTTCAGGAGAGATCTGTGCATCTATGGTCAGATTTAGCTTGGTAGGCCTATATTATAATATAAAGAATTAATTTATCATGTGACAATTAGAAATTGCTGTATAAGCTGACTTACCTCACTCAGCTGATTTTGGGCCTTCTTGATCCTCTTGAGTTCAGGAGTATCCATTGTGATAGCATATGGCTCTCCCCGATGTTTTTCAAATTTTTCTTTATATTTATTCTAAGAGTAAGATAAATTGTTTTATAAGTAATCAGATTCAACATGTTGCAACACCGCTGCTTCACACCTACACAGCAGGGAAGAAAAACAGGTGCCCCCTGGCTGAGCTCATCTAGGCTCTAATGTACACACCTACATAGTAAAAAGAATTTAGCCACACAGCTTGTCACACTGATGAACTCCTTTATTCAGACTTGCACAGCTTGGCTCAGTCCAGCCCTTGATCCACCTTTTAACGCATTTCACCCTAACCAACGCTTAGTCATAGAGCCTCTACAATCCCTGGAGAGGGTGAAATGCATTAAAGGGGAGGACCAGGGGCAGGACTGAGCTGACCTGTGCAAGTCTAAATAAAGTGACAAGAGGTGTGCCGCTGGATTTATTTTACTGTGGAAGTTTCTATGTACTCAGTCACATCTCAGTGGGAGGGTTTTATGGCTTGTCTACAAAAAAAAGGCAAGAGCACTGCTTTGAATTGATCATGTGATTGGTACAAAAAATATTACTGTTCTGTGCCAAAACATCTTGGCAAAGGTTTATTGAAAGCTGATAATATTCCAGTAGGAAAATAAAATAGTGTGTGTAGCCCAAAGATTTTCAAATATCACCCATTAACTAAATAATATTAATAATTACAATAATAATAGCATGTTTGTTATAGCTTTACTTCCAGAAATGTTCTTTTACATATTTTTACATATATTATTATATTCATTATTAATTAGACATGTGCACACAAAAAATTCGTTTAGTTTCGTTTCGTTTTAAATTCGGATTTGTGTTATTTAGTTTTTCAGGATTCGGGTGTGAAAGTCAATTCGGAATTCGGATTTGGACGAAATTCGGTAGCGTTAGTACGAACGTTCGTTTCGTTTTCTGTTCGTTTCGTTTCTTATTCGTTTCGTTTCTTATTCGTTTCGTTTCTTATTCGTTTCGTTCGTTCGTTTGCAGCAAAAGTGACATTTGAGGGGGAAAAAATATTTTTCTCCTTCTCTAATGTCACTTTGCTCCAACGAACGAAACCAATAAGAAACTAATAATAACAGAAAACGAAACGAACGTTCGTACTAACGCTACCGAATTTCGGGAATGGAAATTCGGATTCGTTTGCATTCGTTATGTCTGTAATTCGGAATTTGGATACATCCGAATGTCCGAATTTCCGAAAATTCGTCCGAATTTCGATTCGGAAACGAAACCAATCGCACATGTCTATTATTAATATAATCAGTCTGGAAAAACATATAGGCTGATACAATATTATAGCCCACCGAGCAGAAAAACGTAAAAAGTGCAGCATGTATAGGGTTGAAACACGGGCACAAGATGTCAGGCAGACAACCAAAATTAAGATAGGGGCTACTGGCCCCCCACTGAAAATAGTCTCAACTGTGATATTCACATATGAATGGGAGGCGCTATTTACATATGAATAAGCCACGATTCTCCCAAGAAAATGTCCATGTGTCGCTACAGTGTTCGGTAGCAGCCCTAAGCATGTATAGCAACCAATCAGAATCCATCTTATACACTCTGTTGCGATTCAGTTGTCCTTTACTCTGCTTTACACTTTGCCATTTGCTCCTTTCTACTGTTTAATGAAAATTAAATTGTATGTCAAAAAGTCTGTGCTAGTATAAACCCAAAAAGGTAACTTTGGCAGAACACAGAAAGATGATATATAGTCCAGAAAACACGATTTCCAAGAAGATTTGGTACTTCAGAAGAAATATTTCCCCACTGTTTTTGTAGAAGTAAAATGTGACCTCCAACGTGAACCTCCAGTTCAATATATATTTAATGTGATGTCATCCATCAGTTCTAAGTGGCCACTGGTGACTGGAAATTGCAAAGGAAACCCCGTCAACATAAGAAGTTTGCCAAACTTCCAGGTGATTGTCCCGTGCAAAAAGGAAAAGGAATTTGAATAGTGCAAGCAATGTCTGAAAACTTTTATATGAAATCATAAAATAACAAACACAAAACTGATAATAATAAACAGGATTTATATAGTGCCAACAGTTGGAAGTAGACAGATTGGGGTAGGGACTTCCATAGGATGGGAGACACTCTGGAGACTTCCTGGAGGAGAGCATGGGAGGAGGTGATGAAGAAGCAAGAGAGCAGGAGCTCTTGGGAGGAGCGGAGAGGACGGTTTGGGTGATGTTTTAAGATGAGGTTGGTGATGTCGCTGGGGCATAGTTGAAGATGGCTTGATATGTTGTTATGGTATTTCTTGAAATTTGTCTGCTAGTAAAAAGTTAGTCAAGCAGTAATCACTTAACATAAGGCAGGGAAAAGTTCAAAACCCTTGTCCACTAGATGGCAGGACATCCTCACATTACTTCATCCTAACATACTGTCACCATTGGGGTATATGAAATGAGACAATTTCCCCTCAGGAGGAAGAGTTGTAACCTGCCCTGGTAAAAATGGAACGTATTCAATTCAAATAAATCAGCATATAAAATCTCACCTGACTGAACATCTCCTGCATTTTCTTGCTGTGTGCTATGTAAGGCGTCATAAACTTTGACGTGTCCACCTTTTTACGGATTCTTTTCTTCCTTTCCCCTGGAGCAGCCGATGCCTCTGGTGTTGTGGGGGCAACAGCCTTTGGCTGAGAAAACAAAATATAAGTCAGATATTTTTCTTTGATGTTTTTTTATTCTAGCAAATGTATTGTTAAGGATCTGCAACTAATTTGCCACACAGCAGAGGCTGTTAAAATGAAAGGGACGCAGCTGGTGTAGGTATTTTTTAGAAAGACGCCAAGTTTGGGGAAGGCTACATTTATTTTATGTACAGGCCACTGTAAACACTCCATGGTTCCTCTGCACAAAACAGATATTTTATTTTGGATCTTGTAAAATTAAATCAAGAATTTCATAAGAATGGCTTCATACCTATGTGTTTATGTCTTCATCCTTTTTTCATGTCTTTTTCAATGCATGTTTTCAAACAATTATGTGTGTTTTCATCATGATCTTTTCCTAAATTATACTCTAAAGTGACACTAAACTCAGGAGTTAAATCTTAAAAATGCATTCAAGTACCTTAACTATTAACAGAAATGTATCTTATTTGTGTATCACTCGGCTGTAGATCCTCAAATAATCTCTAAATTGGTGCTGACACTATCCTTTAGACATGTGCACTGCAAAAAACTGACGAAACAAATGAAAACGAAAAACGTTTCCATTCATTTCGTCAAAGAAAACACATTTTTCTTCTGTTTCGGATTTGGAGGCTACGAGCCTCCGAATCCGAAACCACACATTGAGAATGCAGAACAAGCGGCGGCCATGTTGTGTATCTTGGTATACACCAAGATAGCAGCGCTCGTATGTTTGGGAGCCGACATCTTGGTGTATACTGGAGGGGGGCTACTTTTGTACCCCATGGTCCCTGTGTGTGTTGTAAAGTAGTCACCGCTCCAAGCTGGGTCCCATGATGGACTACAATCTCAATACAAATTAGTAAACTAAACGTAAGATTGTATTCCAACACAGCAGTGAGTTTGGTGGTGCCATGGGGAACAAAAGAAGCCACCCTCCAGAAGGAAGGACAGTGCCAGCACCAATTCAGAGCTGATTTGAGGATCTACAGCCGAGTGATACACAAATAAGATACTTTATGCATTTTTAGATTTAACTCCTGAGTTTAGTGTCACTCACTTTAATGTATCTAGAGCAGGGGTGGCAAACACAAGGCCCGCGGGCCGAATCCAGCCCGCCGGACCTTGTAATGTGGCCCGCACAGCAGCCAGGGCCGGTCCGCTATGCCGACTCTGTGCAGAGCAGTGTCTACTGTGTGGTAGCGAGCAGAGTCGGCACTACCACACAGTAGACACTAGAGGGCGCTGGTGGGGGAGGCCAGAGAAACACCTCCTCCCCCAGCCCTCTCTACTCTGTGCTCTTTCCGGAGCTTGCTGGTGCTGTTCCTGCAGCCTGCACTGTGCCGGTATCGGCCGAGATATTAACATATGAATGGGCTGCAGTAATTTGCATATTAATAAGTCGCGGCCCATTCATATGTAAATATCGCGTTAATTATTATTAAAACCAGTAGCAACTGAATGCAGAGGCAACTATTTATGATAATAAAGAGTAGATGCATAGTCCTATACAACCGGCCCTTTGAGGGTAACCATACTGCTGATGCGGCCCCCGATGAATTTGAGTTTGCCACCCCTGATCTAGAGCAACAGCACTATTGTCAGGGACGGGCCACATGAACCATGCATTTGCAGGGCATAAAAATGCATGCGTTATCATACATTCTCATGTGCTCCGACTCCGAGTACCAAGCAGCCCGCGATACAGGTTGCACCACAATACAATGCATATATGTGAACCAGACCCGCTGAAAACGAGATGGCAAGTACCATTCATTTTGATGAATCGTAACGCGCATGTTACAACACATATCTTTGAACAGGGTCTTATGGTTGAACCCTGAATGATTAATTCTCAAAAATCAATAAGAAAACATATGTGACCAACCATGAGGTGGATTATTTTATATATATACCGTATTTTTCGCTCCATAAGACGCACTTTTTTCCCCCCAAAAGGAGGGGGAAAATGTGCCTGCGTCTTATGGAGCGTATCCCGACGCCCGAGACATGCAGTTTCGGGCGCCGGGCGAGTAGTTGGAGCCACTGCTCGTTTAATACGAGTGATCTAATGAGATCACTCGTATTAAAGCCGAGCAGCGGCGGTGGCGATCGTATTCAGCAGCAGGCGCCACTGCTCGTTTGATACGAGTGATCTAATGTCGGCTTATACTCGAGTATATACGGTGTATATATATATATATATATATATACACATATATTTTCACATCTCTGGTGGCCCATTTCTTGATTTCTTGAAATGTTGCCACTTCTCTTCTTCTGAACTTCTTCTTGACTGGTTGAATACCTGCTCCCCCACCACACATATTGGCTTATCCCATCGACTCATGCACCCCGTAATGATGTACAAGTTGGTGGGAAGAACCACTGCACAGAGTGGGGGGTTGAAGGTATTAATAAACCGGTAGTGTGTAATACCATCATCAGCTAGAGAGCAGTGAAGCAGTGATGTTTATAGACACAGGCTGCCGGAGGGGTAAATATAATGCCTCTTCTTTCACAGGTCTGGTCTTTGTTTTTAAGTGGCCCTTAAAAGGTTCATTTAACTTAAAAAAAGGGTTCAAACCAGAGGCACCAGGCCAATAGTAGAGCAGGAGGTCAACAATGGCAGCCCACCTATTTTTTTAGTAGTACTATTTTAAGGTATACTTTCAGTTTTTGCAAAGAGAATCACTTAGAACAGTCTGAGAGACCTACGTTATGTTTTTGCATGATTTATGAGGATAGGGTTCATGTATATAGGCATCAATCTGATGAGCAAGTTACATTTTGAACGTTTTTGTGTTGCCTATGATTTCCTTCTGAGTTGCTTCATGTTTCTCCTGAGTTCCTTTGCGATTTTCCTGCATTTACATTTCTTGCGTGGGGAAAATCACCCACAAACAAATGTCCGTGTGCACGCACTTGAAAGCAACTGAAGCTAAAAACTTTTTTTTTAGTTTTGGATAAAGCGGAGAGAGATTAGAACACCAGTAAGGTTTTTATTGCTGTCTGTAGCCCCATTAGGGAGATTCAACCTATCTATGTGTTATAGTGACCATTATCACCGAGAGTGAAAGAAAATCCCAAATTTTGGGTTAACATCAGAAGCGGAATAGATGGGAATTCTTCCAATGGGGACACTAGGTCTTGTGACCCTTCTGACCACCAGGGATTTCCCTCATTTTGGAGGGAAATTGAACAGGAAGTAAAGAGAATTCTTCCCCAATGGGACACAGATGGCAAAAGAAGCTGACAGGGGTTATAACTAGGGATGCACCAATACCGATACTAGTATCGGTGCCAATGCCGAGTATTTTGGGCTCCAATGCCTAGCCCCATACCCGAGCTTCTGGTATCAGGGAGCCGCGCACCGAGTCATTACACGCTGCCCGGCTTTCTGATTGGCCGGGCAGACGGCTCCATGCTCCCTCATGACTTGGTGACGAGGGAGCATGGAGACTGCTTCCATGCTAATCGGGAAGCAGGGTGGCAAGACTTTACACGCTGCCCGGCTTCCCGGCTAATCAGGAAGCCAGGTGGCGCGTTATTAAACGTTGCCTGGCTTCCTTAATGGGACTTCCAGTATCAGTATTCGATATCGCTGAGTACTAAAAAAAAAAATATCAGTACTCGTACTCCATATCGAAAAACCGGTATTAGTGCATCCCTAGTTATAACCCTCCCTTACGCTATCCAAAACTAAAAAAAAGCTTAACCCTACTTTATTGTTCTAAAGAATGGTGTTTACAAGCTGAGAGTTAATTATGTGTATTTAGTGTGGCATACAGGTCATTTAGATTAGAGGTAACAATCTTTATGTGTGTATATATATATTTAATTAAGAATGAAGAAAATATTATGATATTACCCTTAGCAACCAGCAAGGAGTTTGCGTGAATTTTCTAGTGCACGCTACAAAAATGTAAGGTGTAATATGACTGGTCACCACAGGCAACACCCCCTTTGCAGTAGTTTATGTATATCAGCCATAGTATGCATCATTGTTAAAAAAAAACAATTTTCAATAACTTTAAGTGCATACTTACCACTGTTTGTGCAGTCAAGGGTCTAATAGCACCAAGTCAAAATCATTTGCATAATTTGCAAAAACGGATGAAATTTGCAATGACAAGCTACACATTAAACAGCATGAATGATGATGAACCACGAGTAGCATGAATGGTTATCCATGACTTACAGCAATGAATAACCAGGCGATGGAATGATATGGCGAAAATGTGGTGTTAATACAGAAGCCAAGCTTAAAGTGTATTTCCACTTTTGCAGACAAATTTGACAAAACCCCTGTATATGTTTATGTGTTCACACAACATACCTAAAAATTATTTAAAAGAATATAACATATTCCTCCATCCACGCTTAACAGCGCGGATGGATCCATCTCCCACTGTGAGCTTTGTATGTGTAGCTTTTCCAGTGCCCGCCGGTGTCAGCTGATTAGCTGCAAGCACCGTTCGGCCAAGGAATTTCCATCATGTTCCTTTCCTTCTAATGATCGACTTCTATCTAAGAAATAGAGCCACCAATGGAGCAAAATTCACTCCATGTGTACCCAGCTTAAGTTATGATTGTTATTGTTTGTGTATTTGTTGGGTTTCTCTTATGTTTGGACAATTGTTTATTTCTGCCTGTTGTAGGGGAATGTTCTCCAGCAGATAGAGCAAGAGGAAACAATATTTATGAACATTTCTTTTTCTCTGTAACTCTCTGTAACGGATGCTGTGGGAGGATATAAATATTTCGGCTACCCTTGGGTAAGAGTCTTTGCCTCTCAGATTGCTGCCTGGAGAGGACATCAGTGTAAGAGAAGGATCTTTTGCCTCCTGGGCTACGGGCTGGAGAGAAGGTTGAGCTGGAAGCCAGTGTCTCCCAGGCCTGATGGCTGGGTGAGGATGACACCTAAAGAGGGTCTTGTGTCTGGGCCAAAGGGATTTATGCCGCCTTGCTGGAAGGTATATCTAGAAGGTGTCTCGGAGCGCTGGGTACAAGCTGCCGATGGTGCACAATAAGTGCTCACTTCTCAAATTAGAAGGTCATGGTGCTACCTGGTGGCTCCTAATGTTCCACACTCACAGATTGCTGGTCCCAGCTTAAAGGTCCATTGCCTGTATTGTCTGTTACCAGATCTGAGATCGTGTTTTGCATGTTTTGGGGTATCCTGTGGTCTAACCCTCTTTTCTGGTGTTTATTGAGCTAAAAGGGTGCTGCATAACTAATACTGTCTACAAAGTTTATTATTTTACTGCAATGCCCCAAAATACCAGACGAGCCAGAAAGGTGGAGAAAAATAAAGCAACACTTAGATGGATGGAAGCAAATAGTAACATGAAAAATAAATTAGGCAATTAAATGATGAAGAATGAAATGATGCACAAGCAGCAGTCTCGATATCTCCTACAGCAACAAGAGCTAAATATTTCTTATTCTGGTTTATTTGAATGCTCATAATGTTTGTAAAGCTGGGCGTTTTTCATCTGAAACAAGAAATGTTTAATTTTCACTGAATCTGTGATTTTGCTGATGAGGCATTATTCAGTGATAGTATTTTTGGCCCAAACATAACTGAACATGGAAAGAGAAGTAAAGCCAAACCTTTTTTTTTCTTGGTTTTCTTCTCCTTGGGGTCACAGGAGTACATTTACTAATGTACACCTGTGACCTATAGTCAGCAGATAGCAGGCTTATACCTGCTATCAGTTGACAGTGCAGACCCACTCTGCCGCTGAGAAGGCTCCCGAAAATATTGTTGTGTTTTACCTTGGCTGACTAACTGACAGCTGGCTCTGCCTCTCTAGAGCCAGAGCCAGCTGTGCCCGCCCCCTTCCCTGCCTGAAGTAGCAGAAAAGGGGGTAGCAATCCCTTTGGGAATCCTCTCCTCTGGAAGAAGAAACCAAGAGCTAAATGATCGGAGGTCATGTGATTGCTCAGCTCTCAGTTTTAGAGTTGGTGTAGGACAGCTGCAGTGCCTCACGCTGGCTCTAAGCAGCTGAAAGATTATGTTTTACTCTCCCTGCTCTTCTCCTTTAATATAGACCGAGGTAGATTATTAAAGTGGCTATCTGCTGCTCATGGCTACAGTGTGACCTGGTCTTCTGTCATTTAAGGCTGAAATTAACTCTGAGTTTAAATCAGTGTTTAATATCTTACAGTTAACTTTATTTCTAAAGCAGCTATAACATAAGTAGAAAAGCCTGTCCCATGCTCTCTACGGTAAAGCGGTGGTCTCTCTGCAGAGGTCAGAAACACCCCCCCCCCCCCTGGGGAAGGGACAG